CTCTTCCCTTCCTCTCACGGAATGGCAACTCTTGAGATTGTGCCTCCAATCTATTCAAAAGGACTCAATGACACTTATGTGAGTCCCCACCTCTGATGGGACCTAGCTTTGCAAAAAGCTCAGTCATGGGGAAGTAGGCTAAGGGTAAGAACTCAAGGAAATCAGTCCTAAGGCTCAATCGCGTGCGCGCGTGCGTGCGTGCGTCCGTGTGTGGTGTGTGTGTGTGTGTGTGTGTGTGTGGCTTGAGCAATATATCCCATAGCATTTTTGCTCAAGGGTGGCACTCTACCACTTGAGCCACCACTCTACTTCTGGGCCTTTGTTAGTTAACTGGAGGTAAGAGTCTCATGGACTTTTCCGTCCAGGTTAGCTTCGAAACACAATTCCCCCAACTCGGTCTCTTGAGTAGCTAGGATTACAATTGTGAGGCCTAGCTTCAATCTCTTGAAATGAATCTAAGTATCCCTGATTTTTTTTTTTAGACACAAACTTTGAAGAGCTGTAATGTATAAAAAAATGCCTTACAAATAAACAACAAAAAACACTTGAGACATAGGTGCATAAGGCAGCATTCTAGGGAGCCACTTTACACAAATACATAGGTTTTAGATGACTTCTTTTAAGTAAGGATTAATGAGAAATATTCCATGATTTTCAGAGAAACAGATTTGGATTTGTGGTATGTATGGTTGTTTAAACATTATTTATCCATTTTACTTCATCATACAAAGTAAATGCAAAACAGAGTGACTTTTTTCCTAAGTAAATCAATGCAACCATAAGTAATTTAAAATCTTTTAACATAGGTAAATATAGTTCCTTTAAAGTAGCGCTATCTTTAATTGCCACTTATTTGTGAATTGTTAGAAAATAATGACTATCAATCACTTCAAGCTTTCTAGACTCAATGAATATTAATCAAAATTTCTTCTAACAAAGGCAATTTCTGGGAACGTGTAGGTTAAAAGGCCAGCTTCAGAGTAAAATAATATTCGCTATTCATAATAAGGTCAGATGGAGTTTAATCATTCCCCCAATGCTTTCTTTTCAAGACAAACAACAAGCTTACATAGGAAAATTGAAGGATGACTTCTTTTAGATGTAAGGTAATTAAAATGTGCCCATAACATAATGTAGTATCTCAACCCTGTTATTACTTTAAAAATGCAAGTAACATATAACCTATTTATGACAATGAACATCTCACTCATATTTTATGATCACTGCCTGAAGATCTCAGATATAAAAATTTCCCATAGTGAGGGTTCCAAAAAAGAGGGGGTAAAAAAAGCCCTTTTCAGGCACTATTCATCCTATTATCCTTTAAGTTAAAAAGGAACTTTTTTTGTAGCATTTTTTTCTTCTTTTTGATCTGGAGCCACTATTTTCTATAGTCATTCCTCTCTTCTGTCATACGTGAGATGTGAAAAATGCTATAGTATTACGAATAATCTGTAGTCTGCTTTTATTATCATTAACATAATTTTACAGTGTGTTAAAAATAATGAAACTTAAAGTAAAATGATCAAAGCTCAGCTTGAATTAGGTAAAGAAATGGTATCATTTAACATATATTTAAGTTATTTGGTTAATTTGTTACTAGAAGGGAGCTTATTTTTCAAACAAAATGCATTTAAAAAAAAGACAGGTTGGTATCTATGTGGGCAGATGGATAAACATCTGATAACCCAAATATAAAACCAGTTAATAGCTATATAACCTGAGGTGGCTATACTGTCATTTATTATAAAATTGCTTCAATTTTCCTGTTTGAAAGTTTGCCTAATAAATTGTTAGGTGAAATGCAGTAATTTGAAACCTGTTTTATATAGCAAGAGAGAAATAGCCAAATCCCACTGAATAGTTCTGCAAAAAGAGATGAGGCAAAATTTTGCTATTCTTTGAGTTGAAGAGAAAAAAAAAAACATTTTATTTATCCAGCTCTGGGAAAAAGTACACAAATACTTTCATTCCTATTGAGGAATGAAGGCAGGAAAAAGGTAGGTTTGTTACAAATTCCAAAATACAGCTCTTCTGGCTAAGTTTGGAGAAGTAATTAAAATGTCTTGCCAACAGAGAATAATTCGCTTTCAATATAGATTTTTCTAAAAGGAAATAAAACATATTTTCGTTTATTTATCCTTTTTTGGCAACATCCTTGTACTGTGAATCTACATGAAATTGTTCAGAGAAAATCTGAACACATACACATACAAACACATAACCAGTACATGGGAAGTTTGCTTATGGACTCAGCAGTGCACTGAACTATTCATGATGTGTCACAGGTCTTTCAACACAAATGACCTCCTAAAGTGATATGAGGAAAGCATTTGTTCATGCTTGTTATTTTATCTGCAACATTTTAGAAGTCATTTAAGATACCACTTCTGCATTTCTTCAGAAATGCTTAGCTATATGTAGATACATAATCCACAGGCAAACATTTATTCAATACCTACTATGCGACAAGCACCAAGTTAAGCCTTAAGAGGCAGAGATGACATTGTAAAACTGATGGTTTAATTACAAATTACAGACTGACAACCAGAAAAAGACCTGTCATATATAGGCAGAACTTTATTATAAGAGAGAAGACACTTATTTTAGTTTAGGGTATTGAAATACTCCGGGAAATTTTTCTGGGCTTAATTTGAAGGGATGAGTAGTGGTTAGCTAGGCAGGAGAGCATGGGAGACAGGAAGTAGCATAGAAGCACAAAACCACATGTTGTGAGCACAGAACTACAAGCAATTAACTACTGGTGAAGGAAAAATTCAGGGTGTGGAGGGAGATGAGGCTAGAGAAGTAGACAATGACCATACCCTAGAAAATCTGGTGGGATGTATTAAGAGCCTGGACTTTTTCTTGGCCTCCCAAATGACGATTTTAGAATGGGAGTAATATTTTCAGATTGTAGCTTTAATAGAACTCCCTGATCCCTTAAAGATGTGAGGGAGACATAAAGATCAGCTGAAGGAGTGACAAAATAAGGACCAGAATCAAGACAGATTAGCTATAGCTTCAACTGAGGAAAATAAGCACATATGACTCCATGCAGGAGTGACCCTCAAGTACACGGCTGAGTGAATTATGGATGGAAATTGTGTACTCTCATCTGAACTACGACAGATGACAAAGAAAGAAAAGCCAACCTGGAAGAGAAATGGATGGCATCAGTGGTAGAGTATGCCTCTAGCTTAGCCAAGTGGAGATTTCCTGGGGAAAAAAAATCCACAGGCCGAGAACAGGCCTGAAGGAGAGGTTGAAATTTGAGCTAGCAAAATACCAGGAACCTGGAATTGTGTAAGTGGACAGCTGATATTTCTGTGTTTCTTTTTTCATTTTGGCCATTGTAGTAGGTGTGTAGAAGGATCTTGTGGTTTAAATGTCTATTTCTCTAATGTCTAAAGATATTTAGTATCTTTAAAACTGCTTATCTGTTTCAAGCATATCTTCTATCTTCTTTGATGATGGTTGAAATCTTTTGCTCATTTTAAGTTGAACTCTTATTGCACTTTGAATTTTCTTTTATGCAAGTCTTTTATTGAAAATATTTTCTTTTGGTATATGGCTTAGTAGTACCTTTTGAAGAGCATAAATTTTTATTTTAAGTCCATCTTAAATAGTTATGCATCATGCTTTTGATGCCATACTTAAGAAATGTACGCTTAAATAAAATCATCTTCTTTTCTTCTGGTATAGTTTTAGGTCTTGCCAATTATATCTGTGTTTTAATACATTTTGAGTTTTTGTTTTGTAACATATGAGGAATAAGTCAATGCAAGAAGGGCAGACTTATTCATGAAGCAAGTATCAAATGGGATGTACAAAGGACAGACAGACCTACTGAAGGGAAAAGGGGGGGGGGGAAGCCAAGGCTTAGCAAAGGAGTGCTGGGCCGGGTGCTGGTGGTTCATGACGGTAATCCTATTTACTCAGGAGGTTGAGATCTGAGGACTACGGTTCAAAGCCAGTCTGAACAGAATAGTCTTTAAGACTCTTCGAATGAACCGGCAAAAAGCCATCAGTGGCTCAAGTGGTAGAGCACCAGCCTTGAGCAAAAAAGCCCCAGTACTGGAGAGCACGTGCAACACACACACACACACACACACACACACACACACACACGCACGAAAGAGGGGAGTGAATAAAAAATGCAAAGGAGTTGGGGCAAAAAAGATAATGTCTGAAAAATCTGAATATTCAGCAGCGTGTACCAAGATAAACTATGAAAACTGCCTTTTGAACTTGGAGGGAGTCACCGGGGCAAATCATCTTCAGTGATGCTGGAATCACAGCTAACCCCCACCCTTTAGACTCCTCGGGTGCGGTGTCTGGGAGGGGCCCGCGATGGGATCTCCGGCACGGGTCGGGGGGGAAGGTCGCTCCTCTCGGTACGGGGAGATCCGGGCGCCCGGGCATCGAGGATGGCTAGGCCAGGGCCTGTGGGGCAATCCGGCCGGCCGAAGGTCACGGGGGCAAACGGAAGGGGTCACGGGGGCGCGGGAGGAGGCCCTGCAGGGAAATGGGCGCCCACGCGCCGCCGGGGCTGCCAGCTTGACGCCTCGCCCAGGAGACAGCAGGATGCACGGGCCGGGGGGCACCGGGCCAAGCTGCCGTCCGCCGTGCCCGGACGGCGGCCGCAGCCGCCCGATCCCGACCGGCCCTTCCCGGGCTCCGAGTGACCGCACTTACCCGGGACCCGAGCGGGGATGCTGAAGCCCGTGTAAGCCAACGGTGGCGGGGAACGTGGGTAGGCCAGGTTCGTTCCCCCGGGCCAGGGCCGGCACTGGAGCCCTCCACCAACACCCCGACGCCTACTGACCCTTTACCTTCCGACCCGAGAGGTCAGCGGGTCACCACTAGTAAAACCAGTCGGTGGGAACCCGCGCGCCCCCGGGAGGCGGCTGGCCCCGCCCCCTCCGGAGAGTCGTGAAGTGCCGTCACGGCGCCGCAAGTGCCGCAAAGACGCTGCGCTTTACGGCACCGGAGGCCCAGGCGGCGGCGTGAGCGTCTTTGCGGCTGTAGCTGCTGATTCTTTTTTTTAATGTGGAAACCCAGCAATCGGGACTCTGTGGGGGTCTGGCGAGCTGGCTACGGTCGTGTCCTCGAGTAACTGGGCCAAGCTGGTGCGGCTGCTTCTGTTTTAGTAACACTTTTCATTCCTGCAGCGTGACACGAGGGTCCCACAGGCCCGGCCGCTGCTCTGGAGCCATTTGGCTCCAGGTTGGGGGGGGGGGAAGGGGGGGTCCTCGGTGTAGCTGACGTGGTCTTTCTTGTTCACTCCATCCCACAGTTCCCAACCTTTCCCCCTGGGGCTGGAAATGCTTTACCTCGTCGGCTTGGGCCTGGGAGATGCCAAAGACATCACCGTCAAGGGTCTGGAAGTTGTGAGACGCTGCAGTCGGGCCTACCTAGAGGCCTACACCTCAGTCCTGACTGTAGGGAAGGAAGCCCTGGTAGGTCATGGGAGGGGGGGGGTCCCCAGCCTCCGGGGAAAAGAACAGTCTAACATCTGATTAGCATACAATAAGCAGAATAGAAGGTTCCAGCGTCTGCTGGTTTGACTCTTTTAAAAACACAGCCCCTGGTCTTGAAGGATTCCCTCGGAGGAGTACAAAATAAGAAATCATACACCAGCCTGATGACTTGGAAAATGAAAGAGCAGTTTGTCCTACCTTACAAATGGAATGCTGTGTCTCCCTCCAGTAAACAAAGGGGGGAAGGGGGAGAGAAGGAAAGTTTTATACTCCTGGGGATTGTTATCACAATCCTTTATTTCATGAGATAGCCAAGAAATCCTTTCTGAGAGTGCTAATGAGGTACTGAACCGGCCTTAATGAGTTGGTTGTATATTCAGAAACCCAGCTGAAAGCTTACCCCTTTGAAGTATTTCCATGGGGAATGGTGATCGCCTTTTTGTCTACAGCATATCCAGAGTGATCGGATCTTTAGGTAGACATTTTCTAGTGAGGCTCACGTTCCCACGTGTGTATCTAGCATAAGCCTGACACTAGGAAGCAAGAGGATTTGTTAGTGTATTATACATTTAGCTGGTTGTCATTGAAGGCTCCGCAAATTTTAGATGAAGGGTCAGTTTCAGGTATATTGTCAAACTCCAAGTGGAATAATGATGAAGATAAAAAAAATCGTGCATGGACTTTATTATGGGAAGAGGGAATGAGTTTTTTAGAATCTGTCAAGTCTTCCAAACAAAAAAGTTCCTGCAGAATTTCAGATCTCTTTCCTCTGAGATTAACAACCCAGAGAAGTTACTTTAAAACTGAAGAAATTATATATGTTCTTTGAGTTGGTCATGCATTGGAATAAAAGTTGTTTTGCTGAACAGCTATTGGGCACATTTGTTGATTTTCACTCTTAGGATGGAATCAAAATATCTAACCTCAACATGATGGAAATGTGTCTAAACAGTGACCAAGGAAAACTAGAGTGAATTTAAACATCTTAACAGAATGGAAAAAGATGACAAACTAGCAGTTTAGTAGAATAAGGTGTTAAATTAGAGCATGGCACAGAGGAAAGTTATTCTGTGTGTGTGTGTGTGTGTCCTTGGGAACTTCTTTTAACTTTAGTTTCTTACTGTGTAAAATGGGGTAAAAATGTCTCCCTCATAGATTCTTACTTAACACAGTGCCTAACACAAAATGTTTAGAAATAGACATTTCCCAATTTCTGAATGTCAATCAGTTTCTTCATTTGTCAAATGGAAACAAGTAATTGGAGGGTAATGTCAAGTTTTAAGATGTGAAAGTGCTTTACAAATGTTTTATGGTTTTGGCATAATTTGTGCAATTTTTCAAAGAAGGGGTTTTGTCATGACATTGTCAGGCACATATATGAAGTACTTTGTCATATTTACCAGCCCATTACCATTTCTCATCTCTCACGTGTATCCTTCCCAAATATTTCTTCAACTTTCATGTCTTTAAAAAGAAATCTAGATTCCACATATATGAGGAACCTAGTAGATTTGTCTTCCTGAGCCTTCACTTATTTTTCTTAACATGATAGTTTCTAATTTTATCCTTTTTTTGTGTGGCACAATTTGGTTATTCTTTATGGCCAAATAATCCTCTATTGTGTGTACATCCCACATTTCTTTATCTAATCATCTATGGATGGGTATCTAGGTTGATTGCTTTATATGGTTCTTGCTAGATTTGATTCCCTCAGGTGTGCACCTAGCAATGACATAGTTGGATCATGTGGTAGTTTGGATTTTAGGGTTTTAGGACCCTGTGTACTGATTTCTATGACTGTAGCAATTTACATTTAACACCAAATATGTGTTTCATCTTCTCTGAACCCTTGCCAACATTTGTTTTTTTGTTCTTTTTCTGACTGGTGTGATGTGGAATCTGAGTGTGGTTTTTCTTGGGATGAGAACTGGGGATTGAACACAGGGTCTCATGCTGTTATATCACTTGAGCTATACCTCCACCCCCTTTCCCTTTTTTGAAATGAAGTCTTATTAGTTTTACCCTTAGTAGCCAGGAACTTAGGATTTTCTGTCTCTTTTCTACTCAATATAATTTTGATTTGTATTTTCCAAATACAAATCTGAAAGTGTTGAATCTTTTTTTTTGTCCTTCTTGAAAACTATTTAGTGCATTTGCCCATTCACTGATTGGATAATTTGTTCTTTTGATGTCTAACTTTTTGAGTTAAAAAATATATATATATACATATATACATATATACATAGGTGCGCATGCTTGTATGTGTGTGTGCGCGCACGCACCCTTGGGCTTAAACTCAGGGCCTAGGCTCTGTCTCTGAATTTTTTTGCTCAAGATTTGAGGTACAGCTCCACTTCCAGCTTTTTGGCAGTTAATTGGAGATAAGAGTCTTGCAGACTCTCTTGCCGTGGCTGGCTTCAAACTGTGATCCTCTCAGTAGCTAGGATTACAGGCATAAGCCACGAGTGACTGGCTATGTTTTTAAAAAATATGCCTTTTATGTTGATCCCCTGTCAGATGAATAGTTGGCAAAGAGTCTTTCTATTCATTTTGGTAGTTGTTTCCTTTGTGTTCAGAAGCTTTTTAGTTTCATTCAATTATATTTGTTAATTCTTGCTATTGTTTTCCTGAGCTATTGGAGTCTTATTCATAATGTCATTGCCTATGCTTATATCTTGAAGTCCCTTCCTTATATTTTCCTCTAGTAGTTTTCTGAGTATCTTAAAGTCTTATAGCTATTTTGAGTTGATTTTATACTGGGTGAGAGAGGGATCTAGTTTGTCTTTTATATGCTTTTCCCAGAACCATTTGTTCAAGTTGATATCTTACCCTCTTCTCTTCCCCCTCCATGGGTTCTTGTCATCTTTGTTGAAAATCAAATGGCTAGAGCTATGTAGGACTTTTTTATTTTCTTATTTTCTGATCTATCTACTCTATTCCATTTGTTTATATGTCTGTTTTTGTGCCAGCATGGTACTGGGTTTTTTGGTTGTTATTTTGGTTTTGTGTCATTCCTGGAGCTCAAATTCACACCCGAGGCACTGTCCCAGAGCTTTTATGCTCAAGGCTAGCACTCTTACCACTTGAGCCACAGTTCCATTTCCAGCTTTTGAGGGGTAGTCAATTGGAGATAAGAGTCTCATGGACTTTCCTGTGTAGACTGGCTTCTAACTTCTATCCTCAGATCTCAGCCTCCTGCTTAACTAGGATTACAAGCATGAGCTACCAACACCTGGCATGGTTCTTTTTGGTAACTGTGGCTTTGTAGTATAATTTGAAATCAGGTATTGTGATAATGTCCAGCATTACTCTTTTTGTTCAGGATTTCTTTGGCTATTTGAGGTCCATGTGGATTTTAGGATTAATTTTTCTAGTTCTATGGACAATATTATTGGGATTTGGATGGGAATTACATTGAAACTGTACATTCTTCAGTGTTCGGTAGTTTTAATTATAGAGGTCTTTCACCTCCTTAGTAAAGTTTATCCTTAGGTATTTATTTTGAGACTGTTTTCTTGATTTCTCTCTCTGCTACTTTGCAGAAAATGAGTGTTATAAACCTTTTAGTACTTTATTTTTTTCTCTTGTTGCTCTGGCTAATAATTCAGACACTATGTTAAATAGGAGTGGTGAGGGTAACATCCTTGTCTCATGCTGGATTTTACAGAAATGCTTTTTAGTTTTTTTTCCCCATATGGTATAATATTGACAGTTTGTCATATAAAACCATTACATTTTGAGGTATAATCCTTGTATTCCTAGTTTCTTCAGGACTTTTTTTTTTTTAATTTAATTTAATTTTAATTGTGAACATACTGTACAGAGGAGTTACAGTTACATGGGCAGGATAATGCGTACATTTCTTACCAAGCATTGCAGCCTCTTCTTCAGGACTTTTATCAGGAAATAATGTTGAATTTTGTCAAAGCCTTCTTATGTCTATAAGATGATCATCTAATTTTTTGCTCTTCATTATATTTGTGTGTTCTGTTATGTTTATTGGCTTGCATAGGTTGAACCATCCTCACATCCCTGGAATGTAACCAACATTATCATGGTATATGATCTTTTTAGTGGGATGTTGAATTTGACTACAAAGTAATTGTTCACAATTTTTGCATCTATTTTTATCTGAAAAATTGGTTTACTGTGTGTGTTTTTGTGTATGTGTATTTTTTTTTGTGTGTGTGTGTGTGTGTATCCCCTTTTCTGGTATTGGTATTTGAGTAATGCTACCTTTGTATGGATAGTTTTGAAGCATTTTCCTCTTGCTGTTTTATGTTTGAAGAGCATTAGTCTTTAATGCTCAGGTAGAGTTTAGCAGTGAATCCATGTAATTCTGGGCTTTTCTTTGTTGGAAAATTCTTTATTCTGCTTCAATGTCATTGCTCCTTATAGATCTATCTAGTTTGCTTATATCCTCTTGATTCAATTTTGGTAGGCCATTTATTTCTTCTATATCTTCCAATTTGTTAGAAAATACATTTTAAAAATATCCTCTACAGATCATCTAGATTTTAGACATATCTGCTTTAATATACCTTTTTGTTTTTAATGTTATTAATTTAAGTCTCCTCTCTCATTTGGTTAGTTTGTGTAAGAGTTTGTCAATCTACGGGGCTGGGAAGATGGCTCAGTGGTAGAGCGCTTGCCTTGCATGCCTGAGGCCCTGGGTTCGATTCCTCAGCACCACATAAGCAAAATGAAAAAAAAAAAAAAAAAGCCAGAAGTGGCGCTGTGGCTCAAGTGGTAGAGCGCTAGCCTTGAGCTGAAGAGCTGAGGGACAGCGCCCAGGCCCAGAGTTCAGGCCCCATGACTGGACCCCAAAAAAAAAAAGAGTTTGTCAATCTTGTTTATTTTTTAAAGAATCAACTCTTTGTTCAATTAAACTTTTATATTCTCCATTTCATTGATTTGTACCATAATTATAATTTCTGTCTGCTACTAATTGGAGATTTGGTTTATCTTGATTTTCTCAGACCTTGAGTTACATCATGAGGTAGTTAATTGAAATCTGTCATACTTTTTAACATAGTCACTGATAGCTATAAACTACCACTTAGAACTGCCTTTCAAACCAGGTGCCAATGGCTCATGCCTGTAAGCCTAGCTACTCAGGAAGCTGAGATATGAGGATCATGGTTAGAAGACAACTTGGTAACAAACTCTGTAAGATTCTTATGTCCAATAAATTACTCAGAAAAAGCTGGAATTGGTGTTGGGTCTCAGGTGGTAGAGCACTAGCCTTGAGCACAGGGACAGAGTGGAAGCCTTGAGTTCAAGCCCCAGGACAGCAAACAAACAAACAAACAAACAAAAACTGCCTTTCTTATATATCAAAGGTTCTATTAAGATATATTTTCATTTTCATTTAATTCAAGAACTTTTTAAATTCTCTCCTGATTTGTTTAATGTCCTGTTTACTATTGAAAAGCATATTTTAAATTTTCATGTCCTTGTATTGATTCTGTTGTGTCTCTTAGCTATTGGTATTTGTTGTTTTCTACATTATATTCTGGTAAGATACAAGAAATTATTTCAGGTGTTTGGTATTTTTGTCCTTAAATGTGTCGTAATTTGGAGACAGTTCCAAAGGCTGAAGAGAAAAATGTATGTTCTACCGCTATTATATGTTATAATCTGTAGATGTTTGTCATTTGTTCTGTGGTTAAGAACAAATGAAGTTCTGAAGTTCTTTTGTTGACTTTATTTTTGGTCTAGATATTGATGAGAATGATCTATTGAAACCACCCAGAATTAATTATGTATGGACTCATGTGTCCCTCTATTTATTGACCAGCAATGTCTTATGAAATTGGATGCACCAGTGTTTAGTGCACACACACACACATATATATATATATATATATATATATATATATAGTTACATAGTTATATCTTCTTTTTTTTTTTTTTTTTTGTCGGTCGTGGGGCTTGAACTCTGGGCCTGGGCGCTGTCCCTCAGCTCTTCAGCTCAAGCCGAGCGCTCTACCACTTGAGCTACAGCGCCACTTCCGGTTTTCTTGTGGTTTATTGGAGATAGGAGTCTCATGGTCTCTCCTGCCTGGGCTGGCTTTGAACCGTGATCCTCAGATCTCAGCCTCCTGAGTAGCTAGGATTACAGGCGTGAGCCACCAGCGCCCGGCAGTTATATCTTCTTGATGGCTCATTCCCTTTAATAATATGCAGCCACTTTCTTTATCCTTTCTGGCTAATTTTAACTTGAAGTCTGCTTTGGATAAATTATTTGGAGTGATATAAAAATAAAAGTTTCAAGAAGTAGATTTAAAAGTTTTGTTAAGATTATTTTTCCAATGTGGAATAGAGCCACCTGCTAGTGTGTGGCTTCTTGATCTTTTTTTTAAGGACATGTTAGTTCAGTAAAAAACTTTTTTTTTTTTTTCAGTTTTCTGTAATCATGTATGATGTCTTCTTAAATTTGCAAACATAATTCTTTTAATTATTCAGTTTTCTGGTTCACAAAATCAAAGTAAAATAAGAAAATCAATGATAAGGGATAAAAGTATATGGCAAAGTGGAAATAATGAGAGCATTTTTTTGTCTATAAAAATATTGACATTGGGCAGTTATGGAAGATTACGCCTGGATGTAAACCTTTTCACATTGAAGGCTTTAAGTGTTAGGAAATAATTATTAGAATTTCACCTGTAGCATTGATCTTGGGATGCTTAATCATTTGTTCATTAGCTCATTTGTTTGACAAATATTATTGTGTGCCAGATGCTCCTCAGCTACAGCAACCCTCATAACTTTTTGTAACTCAGCTTCTCAATATGTAAAACACGGTATTATTTATCTATGCATCTTTTACTTAATTAGAGGTGCATATTATCCCATAGTTAATCAGTTATAAGGTTCTTGTTTTGGCACAAGAGTTTTTTTTTACCAGTACCACATAAACACTGGTTCACTGGCTTATTCTACAGAATGTGTTCTCTACACTTGAACTTTAAAAGATTAATTCACAAAGTAGTTTGTTACAAAAGTCCTTGTACGTTTAGAATCCAGTTCTTTTTCCTAAAGCTTTTCCTTCTTAGCAGCATAGGGAATACAATTTTAAATTTGTCTTTTAAAATTACAAAAGAATGTTTGCTGGTTTTGTAAACAGCTAACTCATCATTTCCTATTATGTCTTCTTGATGTTGGCTTTTGTTTTAGCTAGGGTGCCATAGATTTTTATCAGAGAAAATTCAATAAAATCTGAACCACCCTGCATGTTTATCATTAGTGTTTAATATATTCTGTATTATCATGTTTCTAAACAGGGACTCATGCATACATATTCTCTGTTCATTCGCTAATGTTCTGCCTGGTCTATTAGAGCCAAATTTAGAGGCCTCAGATGTTAAGAGGTCGGCTTCCTCTTGGGATATTACGATAGCCCCAAAGACAGAGTTTAATTGCAGCATGATATAGAGTGCTGGCTCACTGATGAGTTGTATTAAACGATCTGTATTTGGATAGTTGCCAAATTTTGCACAGCTCTAGACAAAGATTGTTTTGAGGTGTGTGCCTGTGTGTGTATGTGCATAGTTACCTGCTGTCTCTTATTTTGCTATTGAACTTAATTGTAGGAAGAGTTTTATGGAAGAAAATTAATTCTTGCTGATAGAGAAGAAGTGGAACAAGAAGCAGATAATATTTTAAAGGATGCTGATATCAGTGATATTGCGTTCCTTGTAGTTGGAGATCCGTTTGGGTAAGTCAGAGCAGACATTTTGAATTTTTTAAAAATTAATTTAGTTTATTGCTCTTATAAAGGTGATATACAAAGGGATTATACTTTGAATTCTATATGTGTGTATATATACATATATTATGAATTTAGTTAAACATTTAAAAATATCAATTTGTAAGTATAGTACATCTTTATCAATGATAACCCTCCATCATTCTTCTTCATCTTTCCTAACCTCAAGTTACATGGTTCCTTTTCACATATGTGCATTGAATATTTATTGAGTACCCACCTTTCCTGTCTCCATTATTTAAATTTTATATATTTTTATTAATCTGCAATAACCATTCTATTTCATTTAAAATTTCCTTGCCAGGTCCTAATTATATAAGCCCTATTTAAATTTCGTAGTTAATGTTAGGTGTGGTACCACACACCTGTAATCCCAGCACTTGGGAGGTTAAGGCTAGAGGATCACAGATTCAGGGTCATCATAGTTGCAAGCTAGGCTGCACAGCTACATCATATCAGAAATGCTAAAGGAAATAAATAAAGTGGCACAGTATAAATTTCCATTGTCTTTGAGATTAATGAAGAAAATCTGCTTGGTAAAGATGTGCTACTGTATTATGAAGAATCAACTCTAAAGTTTATTTCTTTGATTCTGTTTTAGATCATGTTGGAAACAAAATGCTTTAACTAAGTGTATCATTATTAAATAAACTATCCCATTATCAAAAGTCATGCCTGCTATTTGCTGCAGATAATTGCAAACATGTTCATCTTCCTTTAGGCTTTTCTTTTTAGTCATCTAATATTTGACAACACTGCTGTCACTTTACTTGCCTTGAATTTATCATTTATCAAGCCCTTGATTTCAATTCCTTATATCCATTGGGAGCTCTGTTCTTTCTCATTACCAAGAAGATGGGCTTCTACTTGTCTAGTCAAACGTCATCAATCTCTAATGTCAAGCCAAACGGCAGAGTTCTTTGTCCACAGCTGGTCACTCAGGATTTATGTTGCAGCTTTAAGGAACATAAGGACAATTAAATCACTCTGAGCCCACCATCAAGAATGTTTCTAAAAACAATGGAGTTACATGTGCATGCATGTGTCTGTCAAAAAGAAAATAATTTATATCATGAAGAGCCAAAGATTCTGTATCATAATTATGTTTGATTACAAATAACTATGGATAATTACACATTTAGAAATATTTAGTAGCCTCTGACCTTGTTTTATGTAAATTTAACTTTCTGAAAATTAGTAGTACCTATCTTTTTTTTTTTTAGCAATAGGATAGTAAAATAAATTTTAAAAATCCTACCTTTAAGTATATTCTAACTCTTACAGAAGTTTCTCATTATCACCCTCGACTTCTTCTGCATAATACCTGTGTTTTCCATGGAGGACTCTTCCCCACCACACATCCCAGCTTGGCCAAGCAGTCGAGAGTTGCTTTTTACTTTCCTGCATACCAGTCACTCCCAATGTCAATTTCACAGTACAGATGCTACTCAGAGTGATATTTACACACTGGTGCCAGCACACAGACTTACTAGTGCTCAATGGGATACATATAGAAATTGAGAGTAAGCATTTTAGAAACCTTTGTAACTGTTTTAGGAAGTAAATTTTATATCTACTGAATCTAATATTAAAAATGTGGGGCTTAGCTAAGCACAAATCACTCACACCTGTAATCCTAGCTACTCAGAAGGCTGAGATTTACGGATCATAGTTTGTAGTTCAAAGTCAGCCTAGGCAGGAAAGTCCATGACATTCCCATCTCCACCAAAAAGCCAGGCTGGAGCTGTGACCCAAGTGGTAGAGTGTTAGTCTTGAGCAAAAAAGTTCAGGGTCATCTCTCAGGCGCTGAGTTCAAGCCTAACACACACACACACACACACACACACACACACACACACGGGGCTTTTATTTTGTATTAATGGGAGATAAGAGTCTCATGGACTCTTTTCTGCCGAGGCTAGCTTTGAACCAGGATCTTCAGATCTAAGCCTCCTGGGTAGCCAGGATTATAAATATTAGCCATTGACTCTTGGCTTGAGTAACTTATTTTTATTACATTTTATAAAACTATTATTTGGGGCTGGGAATGTGACTTAGTGGTCAAGTATGCATGAAGCCCTGGGTTCAATTCCTCAGTACCACATAAACAGAAAAGTGTACAAGTGGCACTGTGGCTCAGGTGGTAGAGCAAAAAAGTGCCTTGAACAAAATAAAAAGAAGCTCAGGGACAGTGCCCAGGCCCTGAGTTCAAGATCCAAACTGGCAAAATAAACAAATGAACAATTAAGCCTTGACAATGTAGAACCTTAAAAATGAGCCTTTCATTTTAGTCTGAGAAACCCTGCTCTTGGCTTTTGCTTTATCCAGCTTTTCATGTCATTTCATTCCTTTTCAATGCAGCTGCCCCTTCTACCTAATCCAACTTCATATACTGTACACCTTTGGCGTGGTCCATTCACAAATTCTTAAGTCATTACCCATAGTGTGATCAGATTCCTATTTGGAAACCTAAGGTTTGGAAACCTTACCTGGGCTCACAGATGAGATCTTTATCAGCTTTGTCGTTAGCAGATATTAAAAATACTAATCTGCCTATATTCTGCCACTTTTGTATTAAAACCCATACTCATGCTTACCAATGTCATGATCCTTCTCACCTTCACACCTTAGTTCATGCTACCTCCTCCATCTACTACTCCATCACTTGTCTGCCAGAATACTCATCTTTCAAAACATAGCTTTTCTTGCTTTTGTGCTTTATTATGTCAACATATATCTTTTATACCTTTAAGATGAGTCTTACCATCTAGTTCATACTGGCCCAGAACCTCGTACGTAGCCCAGGCTAGCCTTGAATCTGTGATCCTCCTGTCACAGCCTTCCCAGAATTGGGATTACAGGCATGTTGCGCCATACTTTATGCTTTGGTTACTTTTGCATATGTGAACAAAATACTTGAGAAAACACTAACAGTAGAAGTACTTACCTTGCTCGTGATTTCAGAAAGTTCAACCAATTGTTGCTTGGTTCCTGCGCTGCTTGTGCAGAACATCATGGTAGTAAGATGGTAGGTAAGGAGCTTCTTTACTATGGCAGACAGGAAGCAGAGAAAGATAGAGACAGATAGGAAAGAACCAGGGACAAAACACTGTGAAGACCTGCCCTCTGTAGCTTGCTTCTTCCAGCTAGGTCTCACCTAAAGTTTCCAAAATCTCCTCAGCTCACCACTGGTGACCATGCACCCAACACAAGAGTTCTTATATCTAACTCATAACAATACTAGTTTTACTTGTTTTACAACATTTCATACATAAATAACATTGTACATCTGCATTGGTAGTCTACCTTTCACATTTTTGTCTCCCTAGTATGTACTTGGTATGAATTAAGTATTTCTTGAAGATTTGGGGTATTTCCTAAAGTCAACAAAGAGAAAAAAGGGTGATGCATTATCTTCGACTGACATTTATCCATTTATCCACAAATATACACATATTTGTGTCAAAATTTCCTGAATACATGGGTTTGCCATTAGTAGGGAAAGCCAACAGTAATCAAAGAAAAAGAACTAAAATGTTAAAGGGGGAAAAAGACATAGTAAAAAGAGACTCATCTATGCAGGGTCATATAGAAAAGCTTTTCTGTAGAGGTGATCGTTAAGAAAGTGTCAGAAGACTGAGAAGGAAGAGGAAAAGGGAAGGACAGGAAGACAGGACTGGGGAAACAAGAAGGCTGAAAGGTTTGGGTGGGCTGCTGCACAGTGACTGAAAGAAAAGGAAAGGAGAAGATGGTAGACATAGGCAGGAGCCACACTATCTAATAAGGCCTTGAATGGGGTTTTCATTAGGAAAATTCTTTCTAATCATGGTTTTGTTGTTCTATATTGGATCTGTAATTGTGTGTCTGTACATGTGTGCAAATGTGTGTTACATCAGCACATATATCAATATGTGTATATAAAATAATGTGTGTTTCTATAATAATGGATAATGCAATATGATAAATACATAGTATAGATTAAATATGTAATTTTTTGTAATTGAACATGCAATTTTTATTCTTCAGTTATATGCCTTTGCCTTAATAGTGTATGCACACACCACTTGTCACCAATGTGCCCTAATATAGGCCATTTGTCTGTTCACATTTAATGAACTACACTTGAACCGTTACTGTTCAGTGAATGTCAGCATTATCATTAGTCCATTTTTTTCCTCCAGGATAAAGTCATGGTTTTATAAATTAATGTGTATGATTCCTTCCCCCTCTTTACTTCTCCACATTTTAGATTGTTTATAATAAGTTTTCAAGATCAAATAATCAAATATTGTTGACAAAGACATTTCTAATATATAAAAGTTAATTGTCAGCTTATTTTTCAAAGCAGTATTACTAATTTATATTCTTTGTAGTTGCTCATGAGAATGTAATTTTCATCGTTACTGGAAATGTTTAGTTTATTTCCAGGCCACCAACCACAACTACGTCAAATATATCAACTGATCTGATAAAAGAAAATTTAGAAGTCATATCAAGTCTTATACATTTAAGCTAGTCACTTTTATGTACATTATTTTATTGATTCCATTCCTTAAGTCTTTAAAATAGAATAAAACTTAAATAGAAAAAAAGAATAAAATGATGGGAAAAAATTAAGAAAACAAACTGACAGAAAATAACAAGTATATTATTAAGAAAAATTTTCTTGAGTATTTGTCAGCCTGTGACTCAATCCACATAACCAAAAATATTAAACTTGTATGTGTATGTACATGTATGTTTATGTATGAATCTGATCATTTAAATGAATTTTTGATAGATAAGTTTTTTATCTACTGTATTTAATAACAATAAGACTACTTAACTTTAAAAAAGAATAGTAAATAACAGCAAAAGGCTCACTTTTCCTTGTTCCTAATAATAAGTAGTGTGATCCTGTTGAAAGTGATACTAAAATTATTCTTTCCAAATGGCATTCATGCTTTAAAAAAAAAACTCTAAATCAAATGACTAATTATTTTTCATACTCATTTTTATTTTATCTATGTGATTAAAAACAGGCTTCCCTGGTGGATACTGGCTAATCTGTATCTGGCTACCTCATGGGGTTAGCCCTTGATCTTCCTACTTGGTATGCATTGACCAGTTGACAGGTTCTGCTTGTTTGTAAGCAGTTTCTCAAACATGCTAATGTCACTTGCCCCAGTAGGGCTTGGCATTTTTATCAAGAGGGGGAAAAAACCTTTGGTAATGCAGTTCTAAATTGATGTGGGGTTAGTTTTTACAGTGTTCAATATATTTTCATATATTCTGTAGAGACAGAATCTAACCAAGCCTACCCAATTATAGTCATGAGACCTCAAAAAAAAGGCAACAGGCAGAACATGCATTCATACACAAAGACACACAAACACATACACACATATACGCAAATTATACATACACAAATTTTACACAGTATCAAGACTGTAAACAGTTATAGAATGACTACTAGATAGATATAAACTCCAAGCAGGATTCTATTAGACAGAATTCTAACAGAAAGACTAAAAGCTAACATTCTGTGTGTTCTGCCTCATTTTTCAGAATACAGAAACAAAACTTTCAAAATTGAATAGAAAAATAAAGAATTGGGTGTATTTTTGCCATAATTTACAACTTGAAGAACTAAAGGATCTCACTTATATGTGGAAGCTAAAGTTGTTCTCCAAGAAGTAGAGTTTATACTAATGATTGTCAGAGCCCAGGAAGTACATGGGGGAAGGGGACAAAAAAAGGAGGATTAATGAGTAGGGAATTACATCTGATGTTTTATAGCACAATAGGATAATTATGGTTTACAACAATTAATTGATACTTCCAAATAGCAAGTCGAGAGGATTTTCAGTGTCTCCACATAAAGAAATGACAAATATCTAAGGTGAGGCCGATTAAGTTAATCTGATCACATATTGTATACATATCCTGGAGTATCTTATTGTAGTCTATAAATGTGTACAACTAAATTTTTTTAATGAATTTTAAAAGGCCTTGAGACCAATGAGTTATAACTCAAGAAGGAAATGATTTAGTTTATATTTCACAGATGTCTTTTGTAGATGTCCACAGGACAACAAGCAAACAAATTTGCCCTTCAGTAGCTACCAGTACTGGAGTTCCAATTCCACATTGTAAAGGACATGGATAGGACAGAGATTAAAAACCTTAAGCAGAATTGAGGAAAAGCAACTCTTGACTTAAATGCATAAAATCTTTTAAAATTTTAGTGTTGTGTAATTTGATTTCTCACTGCAGAGCTACAACACACAGTGATCTTATTCTGAGAGCAACGAAGTTGGGAATCCCTTATCGAGTGATTCACAATGCTTCCATCATGAATGCTGTAGGTTGCTGTGGTTTACAGGTAATGCTGCAAAGAGAGCATTTTCATGTGTAATTTTCTTTTTTTATAAGTTATAAGGAGATTTTATTGTATTTCATGAATTATAAAACATCATTTGATAGTACACTATTTAGTATATACTACTTTTCTTTATAGCAAGTTTCTCCAAAACTTTTTTATTCTGTTTCTTGGAGTAAGCACTTAGATTTAGCTATTGGAATATTTTAATTTTATCTGCAGAAAAATGGAAAATATACATAATCAACAAATTCAACTGTATTTTTTATATTCTTTCTGTATTCTTACAAATGACTTATTCAGCATTGCAGAGGATTATATTTTTCCAATATTTTACTTTGGTCATCAAAGGCATAATGATGACTTTATTCCTTCCTTCCTTCCTTCCTTTCCTTCTTTTCCTTCTTTTCTTCCTTCCCTCCTTCCCTTCTCCTCTTCCTCTTCTTCCTTCTCTCTTCCCCTTCTCCCTTCTCCTTCCTTCTCCCTTCTCTCTTCTCCCACTCCTCCTTCTTCTTTTGTACTGGGGCTTGAACTCAGGGTCTTATGCTCTTGCTCTTGCTTGTTTTTTCACTCAAAGTGTTCTCTCTATTGAGCCATATCTCTGCTTCTGGCTCTTTGCTAGTTAATTGGAGGTAAGAATCTCTTGGATTTGTCTGCTCAGGCTGGCATCAAATTGAGTTCCTCAGATATCAGCTTCCTGAGTAGCTAGAATTTTTAGAAAAGATCTTTTCCTTTAATATTCCTTTACTCTATTTATTTGGAAATAATAAACTTGAATGAGTGTTTCTCAGATTTTAGTGTTGATCAGAATCATCTAGAGGGTTTGTAAGATTAAATACTATGTCTTATCCTCAGACTCTCACAGTAGATCTGGGATGGGGTCTGAGGATTTATATTTCTAACAAGTGTCTACATGCTTCTGAAGCTGTGTTAGTACAAGTTCCATGCTTTGAGAACCACCAGCTCACAAGTGAAAAACCCTAGAAAGAAATCTTAGAAGGAACTATTGTTAATTCTCTTTTAGTTTCCAGTAATGCACTTGCAATATATAGAATGCTAACAGCTTGTCTTGTGCTCTTACATAATTTTTCAGAAGGGAAGAAGGCACCACTTTTCTCTGTGAAAGAACTTTCCTATAATTTCAAAAATAACCAGGCCGTTGTTTTGTTGTCATTGTTGTTGTTGTTGTTTGGGGAAGAGAGGTGCAACTTTGAGGGCTGTGGGAGAAATTAGCACATATATGTTAAGTGAAAGAAGCCAGATCATATTGTATAATACTGTTTATAGAAAATGTTCCCAAAAGGCAGATTTACAGGCAGAACGTACTTGGTGGGCATTACAGGGGTTAACTGTAAATGGACATAAGAGATTTTAGTGGGATCAGGAAAGTGTTATAAAGCTGGGTAGGGTGATGGCTGGCACAGCTCTAAATTCTCTAAAACTTAGTGAATTGTACACTTGAAACAGGCAAATGTTATGCTACCTAAAGGATAACGGAATTAAGTGGTTAAAAATGAATTACAAGAAGTTTGATAGATAAGAGATTAAGACATTACGTATAGATTTGGAAACTAAGAAAGCTGATCTGTTTCTCAACTTTTGGCAAAAGTTGCCTTGACCAAAATAGACTGAGCATTCAGACTTTTTATTGAATAACTTTTAGGATTTTTTATTGAAAAACTTTTAATTGTTCCAGAACAAAACATTTAGTATATTAGAACACTCTCCAAGGTGCCATGAGACCAAAGAAAAGAGGTAGACAATCCAGAATTGCACATAGTGGTGTTTATTGGGGCACTTACTGACAAGAGCATACTGTGGGCAACCTTAAAATGGGTGGATTCCTACAATGTGAGTCACAAGGTCTGGGTTTATTAAAGGGGGTCAGGACTAAAGTTGAATATATTTTGTTTATGTTTGGCTAATTTTAAAGACTTAGACAGATTCTTGACAGTAGGATGCAGCTATAGAGCTCCACATACAACCTCTAAGAGATTTTTTGTTGTTGTTGTTTGTTTGTTTTTTGTTGGTTGTGGGGCTTGAACTCTGGGCCTGGGTGCTGTCCCTGCGCTCTTCAGCTCAAGGTGAGTGCTCTACCTCTTTAGCCACAGCGCCACTTCCGGTTTTCTAGTGGTTTATTGGAGGTAAGAGTCTCACGGGTTTTTCTGCCCGGGCTGGGTTTGAATCGTGATCCTCAGATCTCAGCCTCCTGAGTAGCTAGGATTACAGGCATGAGTAACCGGTGCCCAGCCCCTAATAGTTTTGTCTATTTATGATGTGCTGGGAAAGTGTGCAGGAAAAAAAAATCAACCAGCATGGACAGTCATGGTGGTTCTGATCAAGATGGCTGCATTTATGTCAAGCTGAATCTGTACATTAGCTCTAAGCATGTAACTTTTAAAATCATGAGATTTGAAATCCTGAGTAACTATCATTCTTTGATATTTTCAGGTTTTTCTAATGAAAAGAAAGTATCTAAAGCTAGACAAGTTCGTTGATTTTTTAGTACACAACAACAAGAAGAGTAAAGTCCTTCTTTTCTTGGGTTTTCTCTTCCCCTTTCCATTCCCCTTCCTTGTTCTCCTTTCCCCTTCTCCTTTCTTTTATTGCTGGGGATGGAAATCTGAAACTCACACATTCTAGGCAGATACTCCACCACACTCTAGCTCTTCTTGACTGCTTGGAGATGAGCATTTCTGCAGAAGCATTTACCAGTTAGTCATACAGAATTGGAAATGCTTATATTTCATATTGCTTCTGCTTTATTGTTTGAAAAATAACTTTTGATAATAAGTGGCTGACTCATGGAAAATTAAGAAAATGCAATGAGTATAAAGAAAAAAAAATCCATGGTCTATCAGTCTAGAGGCATCCACACTTGTTATGCTATATTTTCTTTCAGTCTTCTTCAACAATTAACATGGCCTTTTAGTAAAACAAATATAGAAAGGAATTGCACATTCTGAAACATTTCTGTTTTAAATCTTTTCCTTTTTTCTTCCTTTTTTTTTTGTACGTGTGGAGGAGTTCTGAGGATTGAACACAGACTTGTGCATACTCAGAAGATTCTCTGCTGATGAGATTACCTATAAAGCCTCCTATAACTCATTTTCATCAGTCATTTGTGTGACAAAATATATAAAATCTTTGGCAAAAATTTAGTGACCAAAATGGTTTTGAAACACTTCAGAGGACAGATAAATGAGTCAGTTTTATGAAAACAGGTAGCAATGTTTTCTGGGTAAAAACTTTGATCAGTTGAAGCTACTTTCAGGCAGAGGATTGTATAATTTTCTCATTGTGAAATGCTGCCACTTTCTCTTGCCATTGCATGAGTGACCTTGAGTATTACCAAATGTTCTTTTGTTTATATAATACATATCTGTTCTGGAAAATGTATATTTCTTTCAAAAAGTAACAACTCATTTCCTTTTTTTTTTTTTTAATGCTTTGACACTCCCAATAATCCTTGTTGACCTTGTAGTAGTTCTTCCTGTTTTTGAAAGCCTTAATTGGTCTTGTGGACTAATGTAGGAGTGAGGAAATCTAGTCCAATACACTAAACTAGTTATCAAGGATATCAGAGCTCTGTAACCGTAGAAGAACTCATTCAAGCTTTTTATTTTCCTTTAGTTTACAGTAACTCTTTGACTATATGCTAAATCATTGACCTATTAAATTTTTTCCATTTTCTATTTACTACTCTTTCTATTGTTACTTATTTTGATTTTCTGAAACAGCATAATCCAGGCCTTGAACTCATGATCAGTGCAATTCATATTTGAGCTTAACTACTTATTTATCCCCTACATTAGCTATTGCTTTTGGAATTATTTGAATTTTAAATTTTGATTTATGAATGAGTTTTCTCATTTATATGTAGGCATATACATTTTGTATCTGTTCTGTGCATTCAGTCATAGTCAACTTTAAGTTGGTTCATATACCTTGTGTATGGCTATGCCCATAATCTTTTTTTTAGTTTCAGTAAAACTTAATTATCACATCAGTGTTATGGAGATAAAAGCAGTACATCAGCAATAAGACAACTGCAGCAATAGTATCCTATCTAGAAAAGAAAATACTCAATTATGTGATCCAAACAGACGTGTCTCTGTTTTGACAGGTCTGCTGACTCTGCATTTCCTCACTCTTCACAGATTAAACTAATTTAAGCTACATAAAATATGAGATACATGTTGAGCCACATTTCTTTTAGCAAGTTAAAATTTCGAATTTTACATGTCTATAATATTTGTTAATATTAATGTTAAATTAGTAGACACAGAAAATGGGTTCATTACTAATATAAAATAAATGCATTAATGACTAATTATAAGTAGCGTTTTACAAAGCATCTACGTTTGTGAAAATTAAAAAACAATGGAGAGAGAAGAGGTAAGAATCTGGTGAGGTCCTGCTGAGGGCTGCTAAGCAAGGCAGAAGGAAGGAAATGAGTGGTCAGCCTCTGTACAAGCTGTATAGCTTGAATGGATGGGAACTGGCAGTTGGTATCAAGACAGGAATTAGAGACACTGCTTAGAGCAAGTCAGGAGTATTCGCTATGTGTACACAATGCCTAGGCACTGGGGGTGCCAGACACTTAAAAATTTGATAATTACCTTCTACTACCTAGGATTATTTGTCTCTCATCGCATCTTCTCACTCTAGGTAGTACCTTACATATAATGAGTGACTGGATGGTTTCGAACTGAGTATTTTCGTTGTGCTGGGTTTTTTTAAGGTGGTTTTTGTATTTTCTCTAATAGATTAAGCACAATTTAATCTGAATTAGGTCCATTGCTCTGTCTCTGAGTTACTCTAGGTTAAAATTTTAAAAAGCTGTGTTTTCTATACTGTTTTCTTAGAAAACAGCAGGTTTTGTTTGTTAGAAACCGTAATGGGAACAGTGCTGGGAACAAGCAATCCCCTCATCAAGGCTCACATTAGGAGACAACTCAGTATTTGGACTTCTGCAGCCTCAGTTATTGTCCTGAGTTACTTGCTCTAGTTTCTTTTTTATAGCTTGCTGGTAAGTGCTCTGGTTGTGAAACACAGAGTACGGGTCCTTCTGGTCTTTGAGGTACTGACATCTGAATGGTGAAACTCTTTGCATAATGTTCTAGGATTCATTGAAGAAGTTTGTCCTGCAGCCACAAAGGTGCTTCCAGTTATAAATCAGGGTCCTAGAGGCAGTGCTTATGTGGAGTTTCCTTTAGTCCCATGAATTAGACAATTCAAAGATACTTTTACACAGAGTACTTCAGTTAGTGTTTTTATGTGACTAGCATCTTAACTCTCTTTTAAAGAGACATCTTTTCTTTAGAATGGAGAACTTATTTACTTCCATAGCTATGTTTCAGTATCTCTTAAAGCATTTAAGACCTACTTAAAGTATTTATATATAATTGTATTTCATTGATATTTAAAGTTATTCCTTAATGGTTTTCCTATGAAAAATTTTCAAGGAAATAATACTAATCTTTCAACGTTTGACCAGAGAGTAAGAAATCCAGTCTTAGAATATATCTAGTTGAGCTCATCAGAATTGACTCATAAGCATAGCTTCAGGTATTTGGTAATTTTTGCCCTCATTCTAGTAAGGGAAGCAGTTAGATTCTGTCAGGACACAGAATTTTAGAACATTTTCATGTCATCATAATAAACATCATCATTGCTCTTAACTGTAAAGGGCACTACTGGGCATATAACATGCCCTTTTATTATTTAACCCTTACAAACTGTGCTGCTAGAGCTGTCGTTACTATACTCATCTGTGTGTGTGTGTGTGTGTGTGTGTGCGCGCGCGCACACGTGCGTGCACATGTGTATGTGCGTGTGTGCGTGCACGTGTGTATGTGCGTGTGTGCGTGCACGTGTGTGTGCATGTGTGTGCATGCACATGCACTTGTGCCTTCTGGTTCTTGGCCTTGAACTCAAGACCTTGTTTGCTTGGCATGCTTACAGCTAGTACTTTACCACTTGAGCCACACATCCCAAAGTTTTTATGACCTTGAAATATAAAATATGAGAAAGTTGAGCTGCTCTGATGAAGCAGGGATGAATGCCCCTGAGTGTCCCACCTTCTATTGTTTCCTTCCTTGCTTCCTCATTACCTCTCACAGTACCTCTGAAACTGATATGAGATGCCTTAGACTACTGGAAGCAGAATCAGACCAATATTTTCAAATGAAGATAAAGGCTTTAGAAAGGTAAATGACTTCCTCAAGTCACACAGTATTCAGTGCATAATTAATCTGTGATAGAGAACTAGAATGCTTTCCAGATATGTTATAAATTGTTTAAAACACTGTTGAAAGAATTAGATCTTTATATAATACATTAGTAGTGTGTTTTGCCATACATTGTCTTTGAAAATATATCTCCTTTGTCCAGTTCCTGGATAAAAGCTAGTATTAACATAATCGCGTAGCCATTGAATACATTTTTATGCTGTTTGGACTTCACACCCCTAAGGGTAGAATGGATAGCATTTCTCACTATTCCTCTATTAGACATACAGACTTAGAGTGATGGCACACAATTAACAAATTGTAGAACTAGAACTGAAAACTAGATTTTCTCAGCATACCATCCAGAACTGGATACATGTAAGTGAACTGTTACAGCCAGCTTAATTCAGAGAAGCCAGCCTCTTGGTTGCAGTAATGGTGAGTGGGTAGGATACTTGAGCACAAAGGAGGAAAGTTGGTTAGTAGAACTGTATCATTGGACTTTGAAAACAAATAGAATCTTGCTATATAAAGAAGGGGTAGGTTTTGAGCAGTGGCTGGAATGATCATGTGCCTTGGGTGCTTTGCTGAGATAGTACAACAGACAGGAGCATTTTCTTGGACCTGTTTGGAGTTTTCTCCTTCATTATTAACTAGCTAGATGACTTTAGCAAAGTCAATTGACTCTTCTGAGCCTCGGTGATCTCATCTGTAAAATAATCCTAATTTATGAAATCTGCTTCAAGTGATAGAAGGCCTTTTTAATTTCTGGATTCTTTATATTTTAGTATTTTTAGCCACTATATAGGTAACTTATAAATTGGTTACCTGGTGCTATCCTGAGCTACTAGAAGCTTCCTACTGAAAAATAGTTTTCAGAAAAGCACTGCTACTATAAGAACTTCTGCTACAGATTTCATTTGTGATTTATCTCGTCTGGTTCTCACTTTTTATTTTGGTTGTTCTGTCTTTCAATGAATTAGTCATGAATTACTTCATCATTGATGAATGTTTTTGTCTTTTCTAGCTGTATAAGTTTGGAGAGACCGTGTCTATTGTGTTTTGGACAGACACTTGGAGACCAGAAAGCTTCTTTGACAAAGTGAAGAAAAACAGACAGAATGGCATGCACACATTATGCTTATTAGGTGAGAAGTTGGATATTTTCATAGAGTGATTTTGATTTTGTTAAGTAAAAACTGTTCTAAGGGCAGCTAGTAAAAGGTAAGGAAGGGCGTGGGCCAGCCCTGTTCCCTCCACTCTCAGCTCCCAGCACTACTTGATGTTCTGTGTGTGCTATAATTCATGCTGCTCCTCCCAACCTGGAGATCCTCTCTGACATTCTGCATCCTACACATTGTCTGCCATGGCCCCTTGTCCACCTCCTGTAACTGAGACTTGCATTGGGCACTTATTCCCACCACCCCAGACTTTTCTTCATCTTCTTGGAATGCCTCTGAATACTGCAGAGTCAGTTCTGTCAGAATCACAGGTTGGTACATCTGAAAGAGACTGAAGAGCCTCTCACTGCAGCCTGTGTTACAGATGAAGTCAAGACCCATTTCTCCACTCCTGACCAGCGACTGGTGGCAAAGCTATTATTCATTGCTCTTTTCCCTGGATTGTCTGCCCAAATTTTATTTCTTCTTTAGTGTAGAAAGCGCAATACTAGCTCTTCCCCCACTCAGGGCTTTGCTTTCTAGCAGAAGCCCTGAAAGCTTCATGTTTAGTAGGCTGTATTCTAACAGCATATGTTGTAAAAGAAATGCTAGTGTTAACATTTTAAACTACAACTAGCGAACAGGACACAGCCAAGTGATGTCTTTGGTAACTTTGAAATGATACTTAAGGTTGGAATCAAAAGATTAAATCCCAGTGTTCATGCTTACTAGAGAGAGAACATTGTAGAACATTTCTTAACCTTTGTCTTCAAAAAGACACATTTGTTCCTTCAAAAAGGAATATACTCTTGCTCCATGGGGTTGTATAGAGCAATTCTTCTCAAACTGTACGGTTGAAGGACCAGGATTAGTTGTTTTTTTTTATATATTTTTTTAATTTCTTAAAAACTTCCCTCCCCCCACCCCCTCTCTCCTTTTTCTTTTTGCCAGTCCAGGGTTTTAACTCAAAGCTAGGTACTTTTCTTGAGCTTCTTTTGCTCTAGTGCTCTATCACTGAGTTACAGCTCCACATTCAGCTTTTTATTTTTATTTTTTGGTAGGTTGTGGGGCTTGAACTCAGGGCTTACACACTTGTCCTTGAGCTTTTCTCTCAAGGCTAGTGCTTTACCACTTTGAGCCACAGCGCCACTTCTAGTTTTCTGTTAATTGGAGATAAGAGCCTCATGAACTTTCCTGCCCAAGGCTGGATTTGAGCTGTAATCATCAGATCTCAGCCTCCTATTAGCTAGAATTGCAAGCATGAGCCAATGACACTCAGCAAATGCTTGTAAATTCTTATTCTCACATATGTAGTTTATAACTTATTGGTAACAAAAAGCTCACATACTGGCCTTGATCTTAGAAACGTACTTGAATTAGACTTTCAGTAATACGGTATGGGAAGTCAATCAGCAGGGCAAGAGATGGACCCATAATGTTGGCCTCTACAATAATGCACATATTCAGAACATTAGGAAAGGTTTCTATGTACTAAAAATAAATAGTTTACATAATATACCTACTCCTCTGTTACTTAAAGGTACTATCATTTTGTACAATCCCATCAGTATGTCTTAGTGGAGAAGAATACAGCTTACTTTTACTAGTGGCTGCCATTCTACATACACTGCCGTTCTACTACACACATAGTACTGAAACTAGAAATTAATGTTCAGGGCAGGGTTTTGTAAACTAGTACCTGGGTATCAGTTCTGGCCTGATACTTGTTTGGTCAAGAAAGTTGTATCCCAGCTGACTACCAATGGCTCCCACCTGTAATCCTAGCTCCTCAGGAGGCTGAGATCTGAAGATTGTTAGAAGCCAAACTGGGCAGGAAGGTCAATGAGACTCTTATCTCCAATTAACCATCAAAAAGCTTAAGTGGAGCTGGGGCTCAAGTGGTACTGTGTTAGCCTTGAGCGAAAAAGCTCAGAGACAGTGCCCAGTCCCTGAATTCAAGCCCTAGCACCATTAAAAACAAAAAACAAAAAAAAGTATCACAACATGGCCTTTATGTAGTATCTATATAGGGTAACTAGTGCTGCAAGGGCAGAAATAATTTGTAACACACTTCTTTTTTTTTTTTGATCATAGGGCTTGAACCTCTGGGCCAGGGTGCTGTCCCTCAGCTCTTCAGCTCAAGGCGAGCGCTCTATCACTTGAGCCACAGCGCCACTTCCAGTTTTCTGGTGGTTTATTGGAGATTAGAGTTTCACGGACTTTCCTGCCTGGGCTGGCTTTGAACCACAATCCTCAGATCTCAGCCTCCTGAGTAGCTAGGATTACAGGCATGAGCCACAGCACCGGCATTTGTAACACACTTTATGATGCTCAGAACCTAATACATATATTTGTCATTTGGCCCTTTTTACAAGTTTGCCAACTCCCAGTGTAGAGTGAAATTTCCTGTGACCTCATCTGCTGTACCCTGTGCTCCCTCAGTGACTCCTCCTTTATGTTATTTATGTGTAGTCTCACCATGGGTTGGAATCCCTTTATCAGCTTGGTTTATTTTTCTTTGCTTCCAAAGAGCAGGGATTTCTCTGATTCATTTCTCTCTTCTAAACACCTAGATGTTTAGCACAGTATACCTCCTGAGCAATTATTTGTGGAAGTTAGTTGGTTAAGCTTTTTATCTTGTGCGTTTTTTTTGTCAGTTTATTGGCACAGAAAATCTTGAATCTTTGTTAAGTCATTCAATCTAGTCAGAATACATTTTCTTTTATTCTATTTATATTGACACCCAATTGGTTCTGCATCTGGTTCAAGCTATAAAGTCTTCTAACATTTTCCTTTTTGTCTTATGTCTATATTCTTCAGTCTACTTGTTTGGTATGTTATGTTATTGCCAAAGGGATTAAGTGCTTCATTAGAAATTAAGTTAGTGTTATAATTGGCCCTTGGATTTTCCATGTGGAAAGAGTCTTACTTTTTTTGTCATTACTAACAAGAGCACTATAAAGCACTTACTAATTGGTGTGACAGATTTGTTAGTCCAAGCTTAGATCCAGTTAAGGCCAGTGATGGGTTGAAGCTCAAAATGTTATGGGGAAAAAAACTCCTTTGGAAAAAACTTTTGTTAAAGGAAGAAAAAAAAAATTTATATATATATATATTTAACTGAAGGATGGCAGTGGGGATTCAGTGGAGTTCAGATAATAGAATGGAAGCATATTTTACAAGAACACTGAAAATTTTAAAAATAGAATAGAGAAGGAAGTCTAAGCTATAGGATGCCTGGAAACTTCCCCATATATCCATTAACACTAAGAGAATAGCAAGAACATTAATATTTGGAAAGCTTTGAGGAAGCAGGTAGAAAGATGTTTTATAGAAATTTATTAATTGCTTGCCCTGTATAGTTCGGTTCATTGGGTATGCTAAGGATTATTAGACATTGGGCCTGCAATCGGAATTTTGAAATGTAACTTGGAACTAAATCATGTGTTACACACATGAAAGTTAAAGGCACAATTAAGTTCTATGTATGGAGAGACAGGAATGATGAACCACAACTTCAGCTCTTGAATTCTTGGCTTTCTTAGGGAAATACAAACAAAGCTAAGCAATATTATCTTTCCTGCTCTGATAACCAAAGCAGGAACAGGGGTGTGAAGTATGGGAGCTCGTGATCCCATAATCTCCAACTATAGATACTGTCATTTAATTATCTGGCATTTTCATCATTTAAATTAGTGTGTGTTTATTGAGTGCTTGTTAGGGGCCAAACCCTGTAAGGAATAGTAAGAAACAAACATGATAAGAAACTAGAGAGAATTTAGAAGAGGTAAGACCAGAATACATGCTGTAACCACAGATGGATAGATAGATAGCAGGAATGTGTGTGTGTGTGTGTGTGTGTGTGTGTGTGTGTGTGTGCGTGTGCGCGTGTGTGCGTGTGCGCATGCGTGCGCGCGCATGTGCGGGCCTGTGCACACCAAGAACAAAGATCACTAGAGGAGAAGTCAACAAAGACTATGAGGGAACTGAAATTGATGCTTCTTAAAGGTAGTTTAAAATGGACTGGTATGTTGGTGATGGGAGAGTCATATGGATAAATTTATTTAGTAAATATTTATGGAATTTCTGCTGGCTACTTTCACATTATGCCAAACCTTGGAGCTAAGCTAAGTAGGAGAAGCTTACATTCTAGCAAGCAAACATGGAATGAAAAAATTATAACTAATGGGAAGACAAGGAACAAGTAGTCAAACTGGTCTAGCTTGATTAAGGCTTCATTCATAATGAAGTCTTAGGTTCAACTAAAGTACATTTGCCAGTAAAAATTCTCCCCAGCTTTCTTCATTTTAAGAATCAAATCTCTTGTAGAGCATATTATTAAAAGCAAAGTTTTCACAAAATGAAAATATGAAAGATCTTTCTATGAACAATAAGGTTAAAATGATATTACAGACTCATATCTGTATTCCTAGATATTCAGGAGGCTGAGATCCCAGAGGATCGTGGTTCAAAGCCAGCCTATGCAGAAAAGTTGGTGTTGCTCTATCTTCAAAATAGCTAGCTTAAAGCAGGGCTGTAAGTATGGTTCCAATGGTAGAGTGACAGCCAAGCAAGGAGGCCCTGAGTTCAAATCCCAATTCTGACAGAATCAGTAAATTAGAATAACATTTTAAGTTGAGTGTGGTTTTATACTCCTGCAGTCCCAAGCACATAGTAGATTGGAGGCAAGAGGATTACAAATTTGAAGCTGGCTTGGACTGCATAGCTAAACCAGGTCTCTATAAATAAACTAAGAAGTAACAACATTTTAGAAGTTCAAGGTAAATGAATAAATAAAGGTGTTGAACTTTCAAAAATCGTGTAATAGGAAGGGAATCTAAAATTTGACTTATGCCATTAACTGTATTGAAGGTCATACTTGTATTATAGATACTCATTTTTTCCTGTATTTGCCAGACAAGCAAAAATATTAAAGATATTTCAAAACTGAAAAATAACTCTGGTTCCGCAAACACCAGAAACTACTGACTAATCTCTGCAATTGTTTTAAGCAAATTCTTTAATAGTCTTCATAAGAAAAAAAAAGCCTTTATTATACTAAGAAAGTTGTAGACGTTTATCAACAGCTCCTCAGTTGCACCATATTAATTCTGCAGAAGCAAACTTTGGCTGAACCATGTTTCAGCATGTAAAACAGGAAGCAGCTGCTGTCCTTGCTGCTGTGTAGAGTTCCATGTGAAGATGAAGAGCTGTTCTGCTCTTTCACCTTTTACCACATAGCTCAACAGAGCATCAGTGATTTAACAGTATGAGGGATCAAATGTTTGCAGTGAGTGGATCATCAGATCCCATGAGTTCCAGGATTCTGTCCAGGCAGGTCCCTATAGTGCCTACTACCTGACATAATGTCACCTACAAGCCCTGTTAAAAGTATGAGTGCTGGTGACTCACACCTGTAATCCCAGCTACTCAGGAGGCTGAGATCTGAGGTTTGTGGTTTGAAGCCAGACCAGGCAGAAAAGGCCCCGTGAGACTCTTATCTCCAATAAACTACTCAAAAAAAGCCAGAAGTGGTGCTGTGGCTCAAGTGGTAGAGTGCTAACCTTGAGCACAAAGAGGCCCAGGGACAGTGCCCAGGCCCTGAGCTCAAGCTCCAGGACTGGCAAAAAAAAAAGGTATGAGTACTTGATGTCAAAGTATTCATAATTATGACATATCTTACAATTCATAAGAAAGCCAACATAGAATATGAATTTTGTTTGTTTGTTTCTGAATAGGCCCTGTACGAGACTTCTCATTGAGCCTGTATAATTACCAGCTGGTAGAAATGAAAACAAAGATTTTTATTAGCTGTTAGGTAGCCGGTATTTATCTGTTTTTCCTTTATCTTCTTTTTCAACAGGAAATTAGATTCCCTATACAATGTTCTCAGAGCCAGCCCCATACTTGTTTTCTAGATAGTGGCCTTTACACTGGCTTCTATTCCTCTGTAATTTCCCAAATGCTGGGGAGATGCACCTATTCCCAGATGAGCTTCATGGCACTTGGGAAGAATGTTTTCTAAAAACTTAGATGACTCTTCGTTGTAGTTTGTGGATTTGGGATAAAGTACCTAATTAAATTATTTTTTACTTCCCACAGACATCAAAGTAAAGGAGCAGTCTCTGGAAAATCTAATCAAGTAAGTCCTGTTTATTTCCCTGTGGATTAAATGTGGGGCCTTGTGCATCTGAGCAAGTGCTCAGCCATTAAACTACATCCCAGGCTCTCATTCTGAGAATATATAGATCTTTTTAAATTCCTTAACTATACTTAAATGATATGAGTTCCAAAGATTGTTGAAAAAACTGAGCTCTCATTCATAGTTAAGCATTAAGCATTTTCTTCTTGTAGAATGACACAGTGTTGTAGAGTGGAAACAGGTATGGATTCCATAGCTCCAACCCTGACAGCAGCAGTGGGCGCTTTCACATCAAAGAACTAGCGTTAGAGTCCCAAGCCTGCCTCTAGTGCTGTGATCTTGGCCAGTTCACTTCTGCCTGATATTGAATTCTCCGTATGTATAGTGAAGGCAGTCATCCCTTTTATTTGTTTAGAGAGGCAATATCCAGTACTGGAGCCACTTCCCACACGTGGCTATTGAGCACTTGAAATGTGGCTAGTGTGATGATGAAATGAGGTTCTTGTTGCATTTTAATTAATTTAAAATACGCCAACAACCTTTAAGTTATTTAGAATAAATTTAATATATACATGTTTTTATGACCACAAACCTTTATGAAACATAACCCAAATATTTCCAATGAAAATTTAGCATCTAGATTGATACATTTTAAATACATACAAGATCTCAATAATTTAGTATAAAACAGTCTCTTTAGTAATTTTTATGTGAATCAATATGAAAATACCTAAAAATATATTGGATTAAATAGAATATATTATTAATACTGAATTTGCTTTTTAAAATTTGGCTAATATGGATACCGGAACATTTGAGATTGTATTGTGGCTTGCATTATATTTCTGTTGGATAATACTTGACTTAACTATTGTGGAAGTCAGTAAAATAATCACTGAACCATTTTGTAGATACTGAAGCTCACATTTTATTACTGTCATCGTTGGGTAAACCTTAGGAAGGAAGCATAAATATATGTCACCAACCAAGATTTTCAATCTTTATTTACTTTTCACAGAAACTGCTTAAACAGAAACTGCTTAGTTTAAACAGGTTAGGAGAAAAGTGTCCAGCATGCTCTAGGTCCTCAGGTCACTCCTTAGAAGAACACTTATAAACCTTCTTAAGCTGGGATGTAGACCAAGTGGAAACTTAGTTTGAATTTTGTTTTACCGAAGGCATCACTTTGAATAAAGATAACTGACTTAGACACCTGTCTGAGTTGCTGGATTTCTGTAACATAGAAGGACAGTTAGAACTGTGTGAAAAGCTTCATACTCTGTACTGCTTTGGTGTGCACTTGAAGTGGTCTCCTGTGCAAGCCCGCAGAGTGAAGGTGTGCTGCCCATGCGTCTCTGGGTAGAGAGGGGGGTAATTGCATTGTAGTGCATTCTACAATTCTGGTGAGAAGCCTGGCATGTGGTTTTTGTATTTACAGGGGAAGGAAGATCTATGAACCTCCTCGGTATATGAGTGTAAACCAGGCGGCTCAGCAGCTTCTGGAAATTGTTCAAAATCAGAGAATACGAGGAGAAGAACCAGGTACCAACACCCTAGAAAGGCTCTTCTCCTATTGTCCTCTCCTGCAGGCAGCAGGGGCGCAGAGAGACAGATAATGAGGGGAGTGCTTTAAAGTCAGATTAGCACAATTCCAGAAACTAAGGGTTTTTCACCAATTACTGATTGACAGATTCGATGTAAAGAGATAAGGTAAAGTATTCTGATAAAGTGGGAGCTTCCAGTTCAGCCACCATTAGTGGTAAGAGCCATGCCAAAAACATGTTTCTACTCAACACTTGAGACTAGAAACCATTTTCTTCTGGGTAAAGACAAGAGAATTTGTACTTATAGTCTCAATAATTAGAAACTGCGGTATATAATATGCATCGTCAATCTTTATTGAGATGTTCTTAAATGTACCTGTCATAGCAATGAGCCTACATAGCAGTGGGCAGGCTGCAGATGACCTCCCAAGCTGCTCTGCGCCCTGCTTGCTTGAGGATATGCTACTCTGGTATCTGATGACGAGAGGACATGGAGTGACCATAGTGGTGCAGCTCAGTCCCTCTTGGGGAGCACAGAGCAGGACCCTCTTGCACAGCTTGTATGAGCCCACTATCACAGTCCACTTGTGGCAGATAGCAGTATACCCCTAGGACCCTCTGTCCTTCTTCCTGCCACCCCTCATATAGCTGTTCTGTCCTGGTCCCAGACTACAGATTCTAGGTTCTGAGACGTAGCAGACCATGGCCAGATCACCACCATGAATCAGCTGATCCTAAACCAGAAACAATAGACAGTGGCTGGTGATGGGAGTGGTGATAGGGTTTGAATGTCAGGGCCTGGGCCTCTCAGTGTGGAGGCCAGACAAAGACAAAGCCCCTCTTTTGGGGAAAACCATGCTGGTCTCCATCTTCTCACTGCTAATCTCTTCAGTAACTCTGACTGCATTTGTGAAAACATTTGCAAGGATAACTTATATTCCTGACTTTTACCAAGTTCCTTGTGTGCCTGGTCAAGTTGTCACCCCCATTTTGATCACTTCATCCAGGACAGCTTTCTCCGAAACACTAAAACCAGCTCAAGGTCAGCCAGTCAGCTTTTGAACCAGAAAGAATGACCCTACAGAGGCCTCTAAAATTAATTATTCTGAACCTAAAAACATAAGTAATATCACAATGATTGTTGTCTGTTAAGGGCTTCATAGTTTACTAAATATTTTTATATCCATTGTGTTCACCCTCACAACAACTACATACAGTAGTATTACAGTTTTAAAAATGAGAAAATGGCTGGACACCTATGGCTCATGCCTGTAATCCTAGCCACTCAGGAGGCTGAGATCTGAGGATGAGATTCAAAACCAGCTGGGGCAGACAACTCCTAGAAATTCTTACTGCCAATTAATCAGCAAAATGTAAAAGGAGAAAGACAGACACAATGGAAGGGAGGGAGGGAGGGAGAGAAGGAGGGAGGGAAGGAGATGGAGAGGGAAGGAAAGAGGAAGAAATAGAGAGCTAGTTTGTCTCATAGCTGATTAGGTAGTGAAGTAGAAACTCAGAAGTCTATGGCTTTTTTCTAGTATCTGTCAATATGAACTTGTCTCAAAACTTATTTAAACTATGTGTCACAGTCATGTTCATTCAGAATCTGTTTTACAAATGCTGTACAAATATAAGGAGTTATTTCAAACAGTTATGTTCTAAAAAGATTTAGCCACTCACTACAGACTTAGTATTGGTCTGTGTTGAGGCTTTATTCAGTGTCCTAATATCTTTTTAGTATTGTGCAAGATGGTACATTGCTGAACTGAATGGCATTCTTTCTGGCTCTCCCCCTCCATCCTTCCATCCCTCCTTGCCTCCTTTTCTCTTTCTTTCTGTCTCTCTCAATAGCAATCACCGAGGACACACTCTGTGTTGGCTTAGCCAGGGTTGGAGCTGAGAACCAGAAAATTGCAGCCGGCACTTTACAGCAGATGTGCACCGTGGACTTGGGGGAGCCCCTGCACTCCCTGATTATCACAGGAGGCAGCATGCATCCACTGGAGATGGAGATGCTAAGTCTGTTCACCATACAAGAAAACAGCTCAGAATCCTGAGTATTGACGGACATTTCTCTTGTGTCTTGTTTGATATGGATGTTATATATTTGTCTCTATAACAAATTAAGCAGATTTTTGGTTTATCTAATATGCACAAGTGACAAAAAATAATAAATTGCCAGGTACTGGTGGCTCACGCCTGTCATCCTAGCTATCCAGGAGGCTGAGATCTGAGGATCACAATTCAAAGCCAGCCCGGATAGTTCATGTCCAAATTAACTACCTAATATAGAAGCTGGAAGTGGAGCTGTGGCTCTAGTGGTAGAGTGTTAGCCTTGAGCAGGTAAACCCAGAGGCAACACCCAGGCCCTAAGTTCCAGCCCAAAAGTCAGCACACATATGCACATGCACACACACACAAGAATAATAACTTGACTCAGAAATGTTTGGTTTCCGACAGCAGGGATCATCACTTGTAGTTTTCAGGATCCGTGCACGTTGAGCAGACCAAGCTGGGAAGATTGTGGTTAGACATCCATAGGCAGAATCATGTAAAAAAAAACAGTTTTTACTTATGAAGCCAGTTAGCATAAAGTGGCCCTTTGAGCCTAGTTTGCAGTGGTTAAAAAAAAAAAAAAGTGGGGGTGGGAGGTGTAGCAAATAAAAGACCAATAACTGTTCACATACAGTTTTTATAATTTTCTTCCATTATAAAAGTCTATATCCTGACTGTAAGTCAAGTTATCCTAACAACAGCTGGCACCAAGACTTCTAAAAAGAAGTGGAAAGCGTCCATCTTCACCCAGCAGCCCTACTTAGCACAAAGCTCAGTTGAGCCACTGCCACAAAATCAGGCCCTCTGGGCTGATGTCCCAATTATGTGACTTGTATTCATTCTGCTGAAGTCTAGAGGCATTTTGTTTTATTCTCTAATCTTTTCTTTTTTCTTTCCATTTTTTCTCAGTTACACAATTTGGACACTTAAGATGTTGTACAAAGGGGTTTCAGTTCAACATGTCAGTCAGTTTATGAATACAATGCATCTTGATCAGTGTCACCCGATTCCATTATTCTCTCCCAACCACACCCATCCCAGTTTAAAATAAGATTCATTTATTATATATCATAACCATAAAGTTCTGTACTTTGTTCAGAATAGAAAGATCTTTGTTATAGGTTAGTTCAGTTCTGTGTATTTTCATGGCCTAATCAATTTGACCTCTTGAAATCATTAGGAATTAAATATTTCCCTCTTTTTAGTATTATCAATAGAAATTATGTTAGATATCTCATTTGGAATTAAAGGTTTTTATATGTTCAAACATCTCATGCATCCATTGGGCCCTAAAAGGAAGAGAGCCTCATATGTTAAAGTCATTTCTGTGTTACTTTCTTTTAAAGTGTTTATAAACATTTAAGAATTTTTAAATGCTACTCAGGCAGAGATTGGAACTTTGACGCCAGCCCAGGCAAAAAGTTACCAATACTCTCATCTGAAAACAACGAAAGCATCAATGGGCTAGATCAGTACTCAAGTGGGAGAGTGCCTGCTTAGTAATCTGAAGAGTTCAGACTTCATTACTGCACACCCAAAAAGCCTAAGCTGAAGGGCTTCTATTTGGGGCAATAGTGGAATAGCCTGTAATGTTCCAGCTTTCTGTTAGAAACTCTGGAAGCAACTGTCTAAGGACCTTTAGGGGTCAGATGCAGACAGAACTGTGCTAATACCTGGCTTTTGCCCTTGTGGCACTCCCAGAACTTGCTGATATGGGGATGGTCAGAACTACAGAAAGTTGCCATCTTCTGGCTTGAGGGAGTAGAAGACAGGGTACTGTTAGGGAGCCCTTAGAAACAAGGGTGCCAAAGGAGGAGTCTTGTCATCTGTCTGTGTATCTGAAGTCCTGGGCTGACTCCTGAACTACACACATGTCAGAGGGATCCCAAAGAACCTGGTGGAAGCCCCCACTAGAGAAGGCTGCAGAAGCTAACACATTGTATTTCCAGAGAAGACAGTTTCTAGTTCGAATTCTGACAAGTGACAAGGGCTTGATATGCACTTGGGTTTTGTTTTTTTTTCCCTCAAAATCCAAGGATGATCTATTAGTAAAAAGTAGGCCTGTGCCTAGATATTTCTATCAAAATTAAGGGGAAATCCTTTAATCACAATGTAAAATCATCCCTCCATCACGGTGATTAGCCAATAATTTAACTGCCAGCTAGAACAAAGCTTAATGTGCTTCAGAGTATATAAAAAATGCTGAGACAGTAAAATGTTGTAAAGCCTGGTTTTATTTAAACATAACTTAGACATGGCACAGGTGGTAGTGTCAGCCATTGAGTGAAAGTGTCAGATTATGAGTTCAAATCCCAGTCTTGGAAAAAAAAAAAAGGAAGAAAATTTAGTACAGCAGGATTTTTAAAACAACCGTTAGAACTATGTTCAGGCATGAAAATGATTATAAGGTATAAATATCAATGACAAATGGAAATTCAAAATGTAAACGACATAGACAACTCCAAATTGTCAGGCATAGCAGCACAGAGCAGATGTTCACCCTGAGAGAATTCTGGGCAGAGTCTTAGTGTATGGCATTCACAAGCAGTTTTGTAGATGTAACTGAATTCCCATAAAGAAAAGAAAGTAGAGCAGAGAAAATGTGAAAAAATAAAAGCCAAAATTGTCCCAAATTTAATAAAACAATTAATGCAGATCCACTAAGCTCAGTGAATTCCAAACAATAAGTACAAAGAAAACCATGCCTACCATATCAGTTAAAACCGACAAAAACCAGAGGTAACGCAAAAATCACAACTGATGGAAACTCTTTGTATTTAAAATGAAAATTTAAGTATCTTTATTTATTTTTTGCTAAGCCTGACAAGTCTATTCTCGATGTAATTTAACTTTGACATAATGAAATTATAAAAAGACAATTCTACTATTCACTAGTAGGAAAAGGATGACCAGTATTGTTGTTTGCTATCCTGAAATTGCAATGTTGGGGGCAGGGCTTTTGAACTTGATGTCTTGTGCATACTGGCAAGGGCTTTCCCAGTAACTTATACCATCAGCTGTGTTTGTTAAATGTGTTTAAATGTTACATTATTCTACAGTGAAACCTCTCTGTTATCTACATACATATCAATTGCATGACCCCAAAGAACTCCATTCCATGGTTCCCTTTCTATTTGTTTCTTCCGACTCATAATCCCTGGCGACCTCTGATGTATCCTTTCTCTATTGTTTTTCATTTTGTTGGATGTCACAATGAGTCTGACTTCTATAAACATGCTTTTGAGATTCATACAAGTTGTTGCATGTATCGAACATGTATTCCTTCTTCTTGTTAAGAAGTGTGCTAAGCAAGCTTGTTGAGATTGGTTTGGGAAGAGCAAAGAGGGACAAGGGAAAATGATGGAGGAGGTGAGTCATGTAGGTGCCTTGTATGCATTTATGGACATGTCAAATTGGAACTCCTTTGGACAGATTATACTAGTAAAAAAATAATTTTAAATGGATAGAAAATAATTTTAAATGGATAGACTTTATTCCTTTTGGGGAAATATTTAGGTTATTTCTATTAGCAATTATAGAGTTCTTAAAATGTTCACATACATGCTTGTAAGTTATTTCTCTAGAGTATGGGAGAATTTCTGGACCATAGTAAGTCTAAATTTAATTCCATAAGAAACTGCCAAGATGATTTCCACAGTAGTTGTACCATTTTGCATTCCTGTTATTATCGAGGACTTCCCATTGCTCTGAATTTTTGCCAGTTCTTCCTATTGAGAAGTTGCCTTTTTTTTTCTATTTACATAGGTGTGTAGCCATCTGTCATCATGACTTTAATTTGCTTCCCTTATGACTAATGATGCTTAGCCTCTTTTCATGTGTTTATTTGGCATTGTTGCATTCCATTTGATGAAGCATCTGTCGATGTCTTTTGCCCTCTTAAAATGGATATTTTTTATGGGTAAGTTTTGGATGATTTTTATAGACTTTGGTTTTTCCTGACAGCCTGGGTAGGAAACTCCATGAGTCTCTTACCTTCAGTTAACCAGCACAAAGCTGGAAATGAAGCTGTGGTTCAAGTGGTAGACCTGTCACCTTGAGAAAAGGGGCCAAAGGGACATTGCCCAGGCCCTGAATTCAAGTCCCAGTACATACACAAAAACATTCATACCTACACAAAAATCATGAAGGAACTGCTCAATGTCCTGAGCTAGAACACTGAGTGCAAACTGAAAGCATTACCTTAGTCCACACAGGGAAGTTTCTTTTAAAGAAAGATTAAAATACTGGTGCATTATTCTAGGAAGCTTCCTGCCTAAACCCATGTAGATGGAAAAGGCTGCTCGGATGGTGTCCATGGGTCACTCTATACTGTGCTCAGGCCAGAGGTTAACTCCAGAGGACACAGAAGTCAGCCAGGCCCCAGGCAGGTCTCCATACCCAGCAAGTCAGTGCAGGACACAGCTGGGACCGGCAAAGGTAATCAGGAAGGCAACGGTTTCGAAAGGCCTGGGCAGTCAGTCAGCAAAATTTCCTGTACTCCTTGTCAAGGCTAGAATTGTTTTTGCATGGGGGAGAGGGAAGGGAGTGGTTGAAATGAGTATGACCGAAAGCTGGGCCTGGACCAGATTAGAATCAGGCCATTCCAAAATGTGATCCTGCTTGCAACCATCAATCAAGCCCTAGGCCTGGGCAGGAAGAAGGGAAACGGTGAATTTAACAGATTTCAAAGAAGGGAAAGACTCAGGAACAGAGTTGGCAAAAGCAGTGTTTACATTTCTAAGAATTCTGACTGGAATTGGGGGTAAGAAGAGATTGGAACGGGAAAGATGAACTTAGTTTGTTTTTTTGGCTTTATTTTGATTTTTTGATGTCGGTAGTTCTGCATGGATGTGACAAAGGAGCCACCAATGACTTTGAAACAATGTTGACAAGACAGAGTGAAGTCAGAGAGGTAGGAGCTGTGGAAATGTGGAACAGAAAGGAGCATTTGTACCCCCTGAAAAATCCAGCCCACTGCAGATAAGCAGGTGTTAAGGCCCAAACATAGTGTTTCAGAGTGAGGATAAAAAGGTCATTTTGATAGGAATTCTTTTGAAAAGGTAGATGAGCGGGGCCTGGGATTTTGTGGAAGAAGTGGCTCACATTTGAAATCCTAGCTACTCAGAAGGCTGAGATTTGGGGGGGCACAGTGTGAAGCCAAACTAAGCAGGAAAGTCTATTAGCCTCTTGTCTCCAATTAACCATCTGAAAGCTGGAAGTGGAGCTATAGCACCAGCCTTGAGCAAAACAAGCTGAGGGACGGTGCTGAGGCCCTGAGTTCAAGCCCGAGGAGTGGCACAGAAAGAACAGAAAGAAAGAAAAAGAAATACTACTTCTGATTAGAAGGAAAACCTTGGAAGGAAGATGAAGGTTCATGTCAGGTATGTTCTTGTTTAAGATGAGATCATCATAGAAAATGAGGTAAGGGGACAATCTGACTTCAATGGAAATAGCTGGACTACACTGAGATTTTTTTGAGATGACAGGATGAACAGAAGCCACTTCCAACCTTTTAGTACCTGTTCTCTCCTAATGAGGTGCAACAGTGCTCTTTCCCAGTTCACCCAACTTGTAATACAAAATTGAGGTAAAGGTTTAAACAAAGTTTTTGAAAGGAATTTTGATACAATTGAGGTAAAGGTTTAAACAAATTTTATTGAAAGGAATTTTGATACAATTGTTCATGATTCTTTTAAAATACATTGGAGGGTAAACAAAATGTAAATGTGCAAGTAGAAAAGAGAAATACACATTATGAATCTATGGTATTGCACTTGGGCCAATCATAATGCTCGAGGTAGTGAGCATCTTCACACCATACTGGAACAGCCTGAAATGTGACACCTAGCCTTCTACCTGAATGCTTGTACAACTGTTTTGACACAATAATCTTCACCAAAGGAATCAAACCCAATCCCAGACTTGGCCATATGTTTAAAAAGCAGAGAGGTGAAATGTTGTTGGGTTTTTATAATATACTAAGAAGCGATTTGGCAATTTCTCATTCACAGTATTTCCAATTTCAAACAATCTGTTAAACGGAGAAAAGTTAGGGTAAAGTATCACGTGGAAGAAGTATCACTGGCAGCTTCTTGAGAAAGCAATGGAATTACCTGACAGACTGGACATTTAGTTCAAAATATATTCACTGTGGGGAATGCACAGTATGCGAAACAAATAAACCTCAATTGCCAAAATATAAACTACAGCTTTTTTTTTCCTAACTGGAAGTCAAAGCAACAATACCAAGTGGAAGCAACAACACAAAGGAAAATGTAAAGAAATCGTGGAGTGTTCTACTAAAATTCAGGAATTCACAAGAGAACAAAATAAAAATGGTAAAATTTTTCAGGAAAATTGAAACTGGTGAAGGCATTGGGTTTCATAGAAGCACCTGTAAGGAATACTCCCTGCAGAGTTTTGGATGATTATACATCTGGATATAAAATGAAGACAAACATTGGCTCTTAATACAAATATGACAACTTCCTCTAAAATCAAGAGACTGCAGTTACTGATTTAGCTCAACACAATTCTAAAAATTCAAGTGACCCACATGGTAGTCTCAGTTCTGCCAAATTATTTTTCAATAATATACAAATGAAAGCATCCATATCCATCCACTGTATGTTCAAAAGAATGTGCAGCGCACATGACTACTTTAAAGAAAACAGACAAAGTTTATTCTGTAAAACGCCAAAGAAAGGCTAAGATATTTTTGTAATAATTACTGGTTTAGCCTCTCCTTGATCCTTGCTTATCACTAACAATCACTGTTACTATTTGACTGAACATTTAGAGATTGTAAAAGTGTAAATTCATGATAAACTGAGATAAAAAGATGGACAAGACAAAGCAAGAAATCTTATCTACAAGTTTTCCAATATCATGATAAAAAAAAAAACACACTGGATTTTCAAAACTGTGTTGACACATTCATGAAATCGATTTCTTCATTTCAAAAAGTTATGTATGGGATGTAATGTTCTAAATTAAGTTATACTTATCTTACTCCTACAACAGAGAACTAGTACTTCTTGGTAGATGAGTTTACAGAGGGCATTTACAGGACTTCCTCTGTAGTTCTGCTTTTTAAAATTGTCTTAAAAGTGCTTATTCATTCTTTTCAGCCTGTAATTTTAGATCACATAAGTAAAGTATGTAGAAAGGAGAAATCTGTTAAAGTAATTTACAAATTGCTCCTCCAAGACAAATGTGTCAGTGACATTAACTTTCACCATTTTTCTCCTCCTGTGGTATGCAGGTTTGGGCTCAGGGCCTCAAGCTTGCTAGACTGGCACTCGACCACTTGAAACAACACCTCCCTACTGTACTGATTTTCTAGGAATGTCTAGATGTGCTACAACCTCTTGGACCTTGAAAACATTATTGAATGGCATCCATAAAACAGAATCATCATTAACCAAGTACCGAGTTTGGATTTGGTACTGTACTGCTGGCTCTCCCCAAGAAAAGGACGGTAGAGTCTCATGTAATGGGGTAAGGATTCCTTGCTCAGGTGTATGAGAACTCGAAAATACATTTGGAAATGTTGTCAGATGAATTTAAATCATGAAATCATGCAAAGTTCCTTTTGTATAAAATGTCAGGAAATGCTTAGGTTAGCCTTCAACCTCTGAAGCCACGCCCTCAGCAAGGAAGTGCTTAACGTAAGGCAAAGCTCACCTCATCCAAAGGCCTCCCAGCCATCTGGCCTTTGAATAGAACTGTACTTCTCTGATGGTTCTTTCCTAGGGCTTCTGAGGGATGTCTTGAAACAATCTTCCTCTAATAAGACTTTTAATAAATGCTCTTCAAAGAATAGTTGCCATTTTCTAAGTTTTTTTTGCATCTTGGAAAGTAATTTGTTTCAACAATGGTAAATTTTGTAGCAGCAACAAGAACAAAGCTTAATTTTATCACACTATAGAATCTAAGCAATCCTTAAAGTGGGCTGAAGTTCTGCTTGAAATAGTAAAAGAGCCATTGTAAACCCAAGCACCAGCAGGCACACACCTGGAACCCTATTCAGGAGGCTAAAAGCTGGAAGACAAGGCCACAGATGCAGGTGTTTATGAGACTCATCTCCAAAATGACCAGCAAAAAGTTGAGCTGGAAGCATGGTTGAAGTGGAAGAGCACCAGTTGAACAAGTTAAGCAAATGGGAGGCCCTGAGTTCAAATCCTAGCTAGCATCAGCTAAAACAACAACAAAAGTAGCCATTGTACTAGTGTCATCAAGTCAGGAATTTGTTTCCTATGAGTAAAAAAATATTTATTGTAACATCTTCCACAAAGGACACTGTGGAAATAAAAAAATCATAATTAGATATGAAAAATGAGACAAAATTCCATTAATAAAGTGCCTTAATGTACCAAAGATGGAGGTCATATGACCTTTATTTACAAACAAACAATAGTCAATCACATTTACAGAAAGGCAAATATTACACTGGAAAAACAGCACAGTAGGGTCTAACCAACTCTCCACTTGGAGTCAGATCTGAATTTTAGTGTTGGCTTTGCCACTGTCTGTCTAGCACAACTTCTCTGGGCTTCATTTTTCTCATCTTTTGTAAAATGAGAGGTAGAGCTTGACTACTTGCTTCTAAGCCACAGTCCATGCTTAGATGTCAAATTTCATTCATGTAATAAAGATATTCTTAAAGCCCAGACTTACACATCCGTGTTAATCTTGGTCAAAACTGCTTCATCCATAGGAGCAAACACAGAATTCTGATCGCTACTCGGGCTGCTTTTTCAGAAGTGCACAAAAGTCACAGTATTTTGGTTACAGTATGCATATTTAGGCTTTGAAGAACGGCAAGACATTCCAGACGCTGTCAGATGACATCTGGTACCACCTCCTGCCCGCACTACAGGAGGAATAACCTAGAGAAGAAGGGGCTAGTGCTCTCCACAGTGGGTCTGGGAAGTTGCTAGCAAAATGAGCAAGACTGCCAATGCTAAACTCTTCATCTTGAGCAAAAAAAAAGGAATTTTAAAAATAACTAGTATAGGTGTGTTTCTGAGCAATACAATTTTTTCCCCTGGAGAAAACTTTGGTCTTTAAATTAGTGGCAAATTTTTGGTTCAGTTTTGTACAAGTCAACCCAATCTTAAGGGCATTCTAAAGTTATTTTATAGCCATAATCAAGTGGTATTTCTCAGTGAACATACTGCCTACTTTAGTAGTATCTGTGCCACAACACTGATAAGGAAGCATTTCCTTTGAAAAAGCAGTTCTGTTCACTTTAGTTTTTTTCCCCCCTGGTGTGTACATGGGTGTACAGACATCTAATTAAACCACAAATGCTAATGCCACCCTGCCAGTGTTCTAGCTGGCAATCTCCTGTGTGTACCACCAAGCTCGCTCTGCATACTCTGTGCCTTACCAAAGGGAAAAGTCATCCATGGATTTGTACTCTACGGATACAGTTAGATAAAATGGTACAAGAAGGGGGGGTCAGTGAAAAGCACATTTGGATTTTCAAAACCCAAGGGCAAATTTTGTAAACTAGTGCAACTATCTCCATATGTGAAATGTCAGAACAGTTTCACATAATTAGTTTGTGTAGGCACACATCCAAAATCGCTGCCTACATCCAGAGCTGTTATTTCCTCTAATATACCAAAACCCACAGAAGATCTCCAAGGTCTTACTTTGTAATGAAAATAGAAAGACTGGTATCTGGGCATTTGCTTTATACTTTCCCTCCTAAAAACCTTAACTGTTGTTTCAATTAAACCACCGATGACAGGAATTCTTAGCTTTAGAACTGCCTGGCAGGGAGCAAACATGGTAGGAAATTCCACTCCATTTGCAGTTTAGAAAAGCATGAAGGAAGTGGAGTATTTATCAAAATATAGAACAAGCCACAAAGTAGGCTACAAGTAGAGAGAGAGAGGCTCTAAAACCTAGAAGAAATTCAATAATAATTTCTACCACCATGCTAAAAAAGTGCTTATTATTGATCTACATTCTTAGCAGTGAGCAATCATTTTCCATTTCACCCTGCAATATCACCCTCACCAATATCAACATTTTTAGATAAAGGGAATGTATATTATGATAAAATTTAGTATAACAGGAGAATGTCCAGTATTGCTTCATAAAACAGAATATTTGAGTGTGTAAACACTTGTCATCTCAAATTGATGTTTTACTTTTCAAACAGAGAAGAACCTAGAAAAGCAACTTAATTTTTTCCCCCCTAAGATACCTGTGTTAGATCACCACATTTGCTTCATACCTCTACCTGTGCAAATGCAGTCAGATGCTGCCGTCGGCTCCTGAGAACAGCAGCACTGAGAGCTTGCACCCCGTGCCTCTTGGCATCTGAATAAAGAACAGGAACTCAGAACACGGCTGCCGCCTCTGTCACTGCTTCAGTCCACACTGCCTTTCCCAGCCATTAACAGTCCATAAAAATAGCAAGGAGAGCTGTTGGAAGTTATTACCAAGCCTTTATAGAAATTTGGAATCGAGTAGATGTTGCAGGTCAAAACAATTTTCTCTGTAATAGAGCCATCTGTAAAGGTCTGAAAACACAGTCCAGTTCACAAAGTAATTTAATATGATTATTGATTTTTTAAAAATCGAACACTTTTTTGATGAGATAAAACAATAAAAAGAAACTTCAATATCTATCTTAGGCTGGAAGTACACAACACTCTGTATACTTTACTTGCAAGAGTCTTATTTTATACAGATTACAGAATACACATGAACTTGATGGTACACTTCTATGTTGGCAAATACATTTGCTAATACAAAGGCACTTTGAAAACCCAATATGGTTTGGTTTATAAGTTTGCAAGGTACAAACAGTTTTACAAACATATGATTATACTGAAGATCGTCAACAACTGTGACATTACGTATAAAACAGCTTTTCTTTTTCTTTTTCTTTTTTTAAAGTAACACTGGTTTTGAGAGGATAAAAGCAGTGGTTTCCAGCAGCTTCTGTGAAGATATTTCAGATGGCTGCAGGCTCACAATCTGAATTTCTCACTGGCTGGGTGGGGTGAGGGGACAGAGTGAAGGCATCTAATGTGAACCTCCACCGCCATTGCCAAATAAAGAAGAAAAGAAGTATATATAGGACAAACCAACACCCTAGAACAAAACCAGAAACCTCAGCAATCAGAATGGCTTGGTGGGGAGAGCACAAAGCAAGACCCATGCAGCGACCCTGTCTCAGCAGCGACCTCTGCCGTGCTCCCTGCAGGGCACACGTGGCTGGCTACCTGGTCTGCCAGGAGCTGGAGTTGTGGCCATGATTTCTCTAAAGAGCTGGGTACAATGTTTTGGATTGTACAGTACCAGAAAAATTTGGTCCAGAAAGTAATTTTTCTTCATTCGCTACATGGCCGCAAAGTCAATCTGTACATAAAGCTGCCTCACTCCAGCCTGCAGGTTAGAAAGAAAGAAAGAAAAATTAGGAAACCAGCCCGTAACAAACATCCTTTCTGGATACATCCCCATCTCCACTAACTTAGGTAACAAAACCCCTCAATAGGTTACTCCTATTTGCTGTCTCAAAGTCATTCCAACCAAATTTTACCTCCCACCACAGCACTGGACCCTTCAAGGTCCCCTTCATCTCAGTCAGTCCAGCCCTCCAGCAGCTCACTCTGCAGCTAACCCTACCCTTCTAAAGGCTCCAACGCCTGCATACGCTGGTCCATTCCTGTCTGAATTCATTGTTGAATCCACCACTACCCGCTCACTGGCTCATTCTGCCTCCACCACACTGGCCATTCTGCTTGGAACTCCCTCCTGTTCCACAAGACATCCTCTCTCTCACCATATGCCCACAGAGGCATCAGTGAGGCCTCTCCTGACCATTCCCTACTCCAACACAGTTACTGTGCAATCCGTACAGTGGAGTTACACCTAGGTAGGAATACCAAAGTAGGCAAAGCAAATCAACACTAACCTGGACTCTTAGTTTATGCTCTGTTGGGAGCTTGGTGGAGGAGGACAGATGATGAGCAAATAAGCAAGGAGACAGTTGTGCCAGAGAAAAAGCACTGCTTGGAGCAGAGGAGGGAAATGTCTTTCCACCCCCCTTCTCCCAAACATACTCTTCCCATGATAAGATTACTTATCATGATAGATTACTCATCTTATTCACTGGACTCACTGGTTACCATGGTTCTCTGCAGGGAAATAATGATGCCTTCTTTTGGGCATTCCCTACTTCCAGAACTTTATGTGATACCTGACCCATAATACATGACCCATGAACATTTATTGAAGGAACTAAAATTCTATGAGTTACTTTCTTCAAATGAATAAATGTAAGTCACAAATAAGTTCTTTCTAGTCCACACCTTCTAGGAAAAGGTACAAAGCAGGGCTAGAAAGTGGATCACCACCACTACTTCCTTTGGCATTCAGGTAGGAGGTGCCAAGGGTAAGCGCAGGAGTCAGGTCTGCTCTAAGGAGTACAGTGGGGCGAATCGTACCTAACATTATCAGCCAGCCACAGAAGTTAAATAAAATTCTCCCTAAGATATGTCACAACTTTGACTCAAACTTATAGCACATATTGTTATTATCAGTTTTCTCTCTTAGTTAACACTTATGGTAGAAAAATGGGTGAATTTAGTACTCCTAAAGTCCACAGCGACAAATGAAAAGCAAATCCCAGTTGTTCTCATTTTAAAACTGATGAGCTGGGCACCAGTGGCTCACATCTATAATTCTAGCTATTTAGGAGGCTAAGATCTGAGGATCGTGGTTCCAACCCAGTCCAAGCAGGAAAGTCTATGAGACTCTTATCTCCAGTTAACTTCCAAAAAGTCAAAGTGAAGCCATTTAAAGCACTAACCTTGAGTAAAAAAGCTCAGAGACAATGCCCTGAGTTCAAGCCTCAAAATTGGTACAATAGGGGCTGGGAAGGTGGTTCAGTGGTAGAGCACTTGCCTTGCATGCATGAGGCCCTGGGTTCGATTCCTCAGCACCACATAAGCAAAAAGAAAAAAGCTGGAAGTGGCGCTGTGGCTCAAGTGGCAGAGCTCTAGCCTTGAGCTGAAGAGCTGAGGGACAGCGTCCAGGCCCAGAGTTCAGGCCCCACGACCAAACTGCCCCCCCCCAAAAAAAAATTGGTACAAAAGAAAAAAGAAAACCCAGCTAATAAATAACCACATGATTTGTCCTGGAGAACACCCAATATTTGTATATATGTACTATATATATATACTTGTATATATTTACTATATATATTTGACAAATATTTAATAAATGTTTGATACATACCAAGCACTGTTGTAAGGATCTTGTTGTGAATGTGAGAAGAGAAGGCATTTTGGTGGTATAAATGCTTTATAAAGTATTTGAATTGTATGATTTAATTTGCTCAATCTAGATGACTCCAGAAATAACTGCACTTAGGAATTACTTTGCAAAATTCCTGTATTTATAATCATAAAGCAAATAAACTGTTCTTATCTTTTCTGTTTTAAAATTGTTAATGAAAGCAAAATGGAAAAATAAGCTGAGCTGCTCTCACTGTCTCTGGGTTTGCTTATTCCAAGCCTTACATTACAGTGAAGCTGGTAATAAGAAAGGAATTGCCCAAGGCAATAAAAAAGAAAGCAGGAAAACAAAGAGGCTAGATAAATTATCTTTGCATAATCATGAGTTAATCACTCAAGCTGATATCAGGCCCCCAGGGGCTACAGCTTTCTACCAAAGCTCCATCTAACAGCAAAAATGAAAACAAACAATTTTACTTCATCCATTTGTTCCAATGGGGGCAACTTCAAATTCTCCAGCTACTCATTTTCCTCTTTCAGTTTCCTTCAAAGTAGAGAGACAGGTAGAATTTCCAAGGATACCACCAATTCCCTGAATGCAAACCAGGTTTGCTGTGCTTTACCGACACCACAAAGACAGCATATTCCAGCAGTCAACCATTTTTTAAAAGGGGGGCAGGGGTAGTTACTTTGAACATTTGTAAGCTTCTAAAAACAGAAATGTCGGGGCTGGGAAGGTGGCTCAGTGGTAGAGCACTTGCCTTGCATGCCTGAGGCCCTGGGTTCGATTCCTCAGCACCACATAAGCAAAAAGAAAAAAGCCAGAAGTGGTGCTGTGCTCAAGTGGTAGAGCGCTAGCCTTGAGCTGAAGAGCTGAGGGACAGCGTCCAGGCCCAGAGTTCAGGCCCCACGACCGGACCCTCCCCCCAAAAAAATATATAAATAAATTAAAGAAAGAAAGAAAGAAAGAAATGTCAGCCTAGTTCTACAAGCTTAGAATATCCTCAACAAATACTCATTGTTACAGAAAGGAGAATAAAAAACAAGTTTAAAACTTAGAAAAAACAAACAGGAATAGACTACAGAAAATTATTGTATTCTTTACCAGACAAAAGCTATAAAAGCTTTCTACTTTAGTTTTTGCCAATATATTCACTTCTAGCCCTTGAAGATCAAGTCTTGAAAAACCATCTTACTCTATCATGTGAAACATTAAAATGGTGGGTGAATTAGACTAACTCCTAAGAATAATAGTGGGCCTAGGTGTGGTCCTATAATCTCAGCACTGAAGAGGCAGAGATATGAGGATGTAAACCAACTTGGTCTACACAGCAAGACCCTCTCTCAAAAAAATCAAGGGTTGGAGGTATACTGCGGACTGAGTGCTTGCCTAGCATGCACAAGACCTTGGGTTCAACCCCTAGCACTGCACAAAATAAAAGTAGAAGTAACAATGGTCTGAGTCTAGGTTTCTTTTTCTGTACATTGTCTTGTGAGGACAGATGAAGATGTTCCAAACCCATCTCAGTGTTTGTAACTGGCAGGCCCTTGGTAAATGCCAGGTATTGATGCTGTTGCTAATCTTACTGTTGTTGTTATCCCCACTATTATTAACCAACCGATGCACATAAACCAACTGCATTAATTGAAAACAATGAACCTACAGGTATGCTGGCCTGCCTATGGATATGCTGTTTACATCAATACCCCAACCTCCTTCAGGTAGTGGTCTGGTGGATTTCACATCCATGTGAAGAAAGATAAGGAAGATAGCTAAAGTTTGCAAAGAAGGCAAGAAAAATTACTATGTCTTAAAGACACAGTAAGGAAAAGCTGTTTTCCAGAGTGGTTGAACAAGTTTACATTCCCACCAACAGTGTAGAAGAGTTCCCTTTTGGGCACATCCCTGCCAGCATCTGTTGGTTTACTTGATAATGCCCATTCTAACTGGGGTGAGGTGGAATCTCAATGTTGTTTTGATTTGCATTTCTTTCATGGCCAGAGAAGTTGAACATCTCTTCATGTGTCTATTGGCCATTCTTACTTCCTCTTCTGAGGTTTCTCTTCAAGTCTTTAGCCCATTTATTAATTGGGTTGTTTGTTTGAGGATTTGTTTTTTTGGGGGGGAGGCAGTTAATTTTTTGAACTCTAACTTTATTTTAGATATGAAGTCTTTGTCTGGTGCATAGCGTAAAGATCTTATTCAACCCTGGAAAACAGTACGGAGGTTCCTCAAAAGACTAAACAAGAGTGTCCTGTCCCTATGACCCAGTAATTCTACTCTTGGGCATTGACCCAACTGACCACAACTAAGGCCACACTAAAGTCACCAGCACAACCATGTTCATTACAGCATTGTTTACCATAGCCAACATATGGAATCAACCCAGCTGCCCTTCAGTGGACAAATGGATCAAGAAAATGTATATATATACACAATGGAATTCTATACTTCCATCAGAAAGAATGATATTGCCCCATTTGCAAGGAAATGGAAAGACTTGAGAAAAAATTATATTAAGAGAAGTCAGATCCAAAGAAATATAGTTTGCATGTTTCCCTCATTTGTGGTAAGTACCTATAAATCAACAATTAAACACATGGATAATAAAAGACAGAAAAAGTTACACTTGGATAGGATAAAGTAAACAGGTCTCCAAACATTCACAATGAGACCAAAGGAGGATATTTATAGGAGAGGATCACAAAGGCTCAATAGTTATATGCATATAACCATATAAAATGATGTTGATCGAATGGAAATGAGGTTTGTTTTTTATTATGCTTTTTGTGGTTTCTTTTTCCTCTTTTTCTCCTTTTGTTGCTGTTTTTGTTTTCTCTTCTTTTTTTCTTGTATGTAAGTTAATGTGTTTTGTGGAGGGTAAGGAGGAACACAGAAATAGTGGGACAAAGGGTGAACAAATTAAGCAATGAGACTCACTAGACACTATATTGAAAATGAACTATACAACTTGTGGGGGTAGGGGATCAAGATGGAAAAACTGGGAGAAAAAGAGGGAAGAGGTGACACTGTTCAAAAAAAAAATGAACTCATTACCTGACATATTTAACTGTAACCTATAATATGTAACCTCTATACATCATCATTCCAATCAAAATATAAAAAAAAAAAAAAGGAAAAGCTGGAAAAGGTGGAAACATAGCAATCTACCTACATAGGGGCAGAGCCCTTCTGCTCCCCTCTGATACTTCATGCTGGGAGAGCAAGGCTGGATGAGGTTACTGGTGAGAGGCAGGAAGGAATTGTGGCCACAGGAGACTGCAGAGGGTAGAGTCTGAAACCCAGGGAACTCCCGTTTGGGTTTGGGAGGAGGATTTTGCGTTCCTTCCTATCAGTGTTAACTTCTTTTTTGAAGTCAGAAAACAGCACACAAAGCTGAAGCAGGAAGCCAGGGCTTATGAGTTAATAGGCACAATAGACATGGCAGAAGAGCTAGAAGGGACTAAGGTGGTTCCCGGTGGGAGAAAAATACGCAATAGGAATGGCAGTTTGGAGGAGAAATGAAGAGGATAGAGTACCTCAAGCATAATCTAGTGTTCCATTTTCCCCCCATTTCCTGGAGTTATTTTTATATGATTAGAGGCACATAGGCATTGTGCCTTCGTGTTCCTCCTCTAAGTATCTTCTTTTGTTCTCCCTGCATGTGAATGCCTAGATAGCTTTTGCTTCAGCAGTATTTCTAACAAAATAAAAGTGCATTAAAAATGTAAGATTATAGTATAATCAGGAAGTCTGGGGTTTAAAAATTAGGTGATACCCGTCAGTTTAAAATAGGAAATGTTTAATTGCTTTATAATCCAGTATCTTACTTCCTTTTCCCTTTCCATAAAATCTAAACTTTTTATTTCATCAAATCCCAAGTAAAAACCTCTTGTTAACAGAAAACAGTGCAAATGGATAAAAAGAAGACTTTTTCTATGGATTATTATTTAACTAGTAACGTCAGAGTGTGATTCTGAAGTGACTTCCAGCAATTTACAGTATTATTCTGCATTCAAATATAGCAAGACTATTTCTTTAGCTGTTAAAGATTAACTAGTAACTCTGAGAAATGAGATTTCAAAGGATAATAGCTTAATATTAGTTCTAAAATAGTGACAAGACTACAGTTTATTTATAAGCAAAACAAAGTTATAATTCTCAGTCTTTTCAGTTTAAAGTTATTCTCATGGAAGTTTTAATGAGAATTTTTTTAGCCTACAACTATTAAATTCTGATTTAAGGCCAAGTATAAGAAAGATATCTATATTGAACATGGAGGCTTATGCCTGTAATTCCAGCTACTTCTAAAGCTAAGGCATGAACATAAAGAGTTCAAGGTTAGGCAAAATCAGTGAGATCTCAAACCAAAATACAAATGTGGGAACATGGCACAAAAGGTCGAGCATTCATGTAGTACGTGCCAGTCTCTGGGCTCAATCCCCAATACGAAAAGAAAGAAAGGACCAAATTGAGTTCATTTTTGATAGGTAAAATTTATGACTGGGGGGCGGGGGGGAAGATGGGGGTGGAGGGGAGAGGCTGGGAAGGGATATGAAGGGTAAACAAAGGAGGAGGCTGCAATGCTTGGTAAGAAATGTATGTATTATCCTGCCCATGTAATTGAAACCCCTCTGTACAGTATGTTCACAAATAAAATAAAATAACTTATGACTGAGCTGTAATAAAAATAAAATATCATTTAAAAGATTTTTAAATGTATGAAATGAAAATGTTATTCAAATCCTGACATATATTCATTTTCTAAAGACATGCATTGCTAGAGTATAAACAGAGAAGGAAGGCAAATTTAAAGGTTTTGAATTTTGCTTATGTAAGAACTACAAAAGTAGGCCAGGTGTTGTTGGCTCACACCTATAATCCAAGCTACATAGGAGGCTGAGATCTGAGGATCAAAGTTCAAAGGCAGCCCAGATAGTAAACTCCAAGAGACCCTTATCTTCAATTAACTACAAAAAAAACAAAACAAAACAAAATAAACGACAAAAAAAAAAACAAAAAACCAGAAGTAGAGCTATGGCTCAAGTGGTAAAGAACTAGCAGAAAAGCTCAGGGACAGCACCCAGGCCCTGAGTTTAAGCCCCAGGATCAGCACATACGTGCGCATGCATGCACACATGCACATATATACACACCCTACAAAAGTAACCATAAAACAACTTTAGAATTATTAACCATTAAATGTATAAATGAAAATCATTAGTGGGGTGATCCCTCACTCCCTCCACCCTGGCAGGAAAAAATGCATTGAACTATATACATCGCAAGCTTCAAAGAGGAGTCACTGGTGTCTGCGGAGAAGAAAAGGAAGCTGTCATGACCTTGGCTGATAAGAAAGTTGAACTTATCCCAAGCCCAAATGCAGTTTCCAAAACCAAAGCAGCAGCTGAATAAACTTTCAAGTTCAGCCTTTTTGAAAGCCAAGATTTCTGAACCTCCCTCTGCCTACTTCATTCAACTTCAGTGATCCTAAGCCCAGACAGCAGGCTGGCTCACTTCTCAACCTAGAAACGTCATTTCTTTTCAGAGAGAAAACTGCCTCAGTGCCCAGGCCTTCGGAGGGCCAGTATGTCTCAGAGGTGGGCAGGGGCAGTTCCTCCAGAAGGACGGAGGAGAAAGGTCAAGGGAAGGAGAGAAGCCTGATCGGCCATGGTTCGCCTCCTCCTCCTGCTCCTTAAACATGGAAGAAGTATGCACAGGAACTCCTGTGAAGGACTTGCATGCTTCATTATGAAAGTCACAATAATGCACACTTACACACAGTGTCTGTTACAAAAAAAGATCTAGTTATTAAAGCTCCAGAATAAATGGATGTTCTAGCGTATTGTTGTATACTAGAGTAAATCCTGACTGCATGGAAGAATGGATTAGAGTAAATCCTAATTACACATGATTATGTCATTAATTCATTCCCAAAGGGACCTCCCCACACATCTCCTCATTACAGAATAGACTGTTTAATTTATGCTAATGTCCTGAATCTAGCTGAACTGTGTATCTTGTTCTACTGCCCAGAACAGAAGGAATGACAAAGAAGGAGAACGGAAGATGTAAGATAGGTAGGAAAGAGAGGGAAAAAAGAGAAAAAAGCAATTATGTGTGATGTGATGCCTATGTCATAGGATGACATAATTCTGCCCAGGGATCTTAAAGGTTAAAATAGAGTAGGGTTCTGTCTTCACAGACAAGCCGACAGTCTAGTGGGTCTGGAGGAGGAAACGCCTGGCAATGGAAAGCAGGAGGGAGATTTAGAAAGATAACTGAACTATGACAGGAAGTTAGTGCTTTGTCCTGATAGCAACGGGAAGCCACATTTTTTATTAAAAATTCCCCATTTTATTAAAACATTAAAGCAAAAGAATAATACAATAAATACCCTCTCCAGTTTCATTCTGCCACATTTGGTTTATATCTCTACATCCTTATTGATCAATACTTTTATTTTTCCTGAAATGTTCAAAGATTAGACATTCTTACACTAGGATACCTTTAGCACATAGTTCCTAATCTTCTCTAAGGACAACACCATTATTATGCTGAATCCAACACCTACCTGCCTATGTGAACTACTACACAATCCAGGTTCACAAGGGAGTCAACTGACACCCATTTTGATGCATTTTCAGATTTTCAGATTAGGGATACTCACCTGGTTAAGGTCTATAAAAATGTTCCCAAAATCAGGAAAACAAATCTGAAACATTTCTAATGTTAAGCATTTTGAAAAGAAATACTCAACCTGCATTGAGGAAAACTCAATTGCCTATTATAATTAAGCTATTAAAACACACAGAACATATAGTTATAGTTATGTATGGTGTCTGAAACATTTCTAATGTTAAGCATTTTGAAAAGAAATACTCAACCTGCATTGAGGAAAACTCAATTGCCTATTATAATTAAGCTATTAAAACACACAGAACATATAGTTATAGTTATGTATGGTGTCTGTTAAGAAAAAGAGACTACAGATTGGCTTTTAGCTAATGTCACCCAGTATTATGCTTATTCCCATACCATGATGGAATTCTTGGCCTGAGACAGCATCTGACGTGTCTTAAGATTCTCCGACACAGTAGGAAAATCCGCTTTCACTTGGAAGTTGTAGCTTATAAATAGTGAATACCTTAAATAACTGATAGATACAAAAAACTTTAAGACTCTGAAAAATGGGTGGTAACAGAAAGTTATACCTGAGTGAAAATATTATGTGTTTGGCTTAAAATCCACCTGGCATCAGCATCAGGTGCTACGAGTAACTTCAAGGTCCCAACATAGACATCAGAACATAAAGTCCAGAAGTGTTGCTCTTGTAAACTGTAAACTCCTTGTAACTGCTGCACCTGAAATTCAAGGGCAGACATTAACATCAAAACCAAGAGTTCCCCCCCTTTAAATTATTATGCAATGCATCAGTAAACACAGACTCTTATCTTGTAGTTGAAAGGAAAAAAGTGCAGTGACTCACACCAGTGTCAAGCTACTTAGGGGGCAGAGATTGAGAGGATTTGTGTCAAGGCCAGCTCAAGGCAAAAAATTACCAAGACCTTACCTCAAAAAATAAACTGAGCATAGTTAGTGCCACCCTGTCGCCCTAGATATGTGGGAGGTATACTGAAGGACTGCAGTCCAGCTTTGGCCTGGCCGAAATCTCAACACCTTATCTGAAAAGTAACTAAACCAAAAACAGGTGGCAGTGTGGCTCAAGTGGTAGAGAGCCTTCTGCAAGAATGAAGCCCAGAGTTCAACTCTCAGTACCAACAACAATAACAACAACAAAAGATGTTTGCACTGACAAATAACAATAGAGAACATTATTTTCTTCTTATTTATTTTTGGTGAGTTACAACTTAAAAGCTTCAGGTTTGCTAGGCAGGCACCCCATAATAATTTGTTCTTTTTTTTTTTTTTTTTTTTTTTTTGTCAGTCGTGGGGCTTGACCTCTGGGCCTGGGCACTGTCCCTCAGCTCTTCAGCTCAAGGCAAGCACTCTACCACAGCACCACTTCTGGTTTTCTGGTGGTTTATTGGAGATAAGAGTCTCACGGGCTTTCCTGCTCAGGCTGGCTTTGAACCACGATCCTCAGATCTCAGCCTCCTGAGTAGCTAGGATTACAGGCGTGAGCCACTGGCGCCCGGCTATTCTTGCTACTTCTTTGCATGTTTGGAAGTACTGGGATTTGAACCCAGGGCTTCACACTTACTAGGCAGGTGTTCTACCAAGGTTCTTTCTTTCAGTTATGTTAGCAGACATACTAATGAATATTTCCTGCAGAAAGTGGTCCCCGTGTCCTCTCTTCCACAATCCTAGTCACTGGTCTTGCCTTCAAGGTTAACAAAAGATCTTAAAAAGATTTTCTGATAGTTTCTTCATTTTCCTGTAGCATTGATCTTCCTGAATGATATCACTGCTTTTTCAATAAAGAAAAAATAGAAGCCACACAAAAAAATCTTTTGTCACTGTCTGCTTTCCTCTTTCCACTGTCTGCTTCTATTTGTAACGGAACCTTCCAGGAAGTGTGGGTATGTCCTTGCACTGTCAGGAGCTCCACTCCTTCATCAATGTCCTGCAGCTTGACCAGTTCCTCCACTTACTCCCTCTCCCCCAGCACCACTATTATCATGATCTAGAACTCTGCTCTTCAATACATAGCCACTAGACATGCATTAATTAATTTAAGAAAGGCAGTTATACCAGCCACACGTGGCATCGATTCCATACTGGACAGTCTTGGACAGTGCAGACACAGAACAGTGTGGACATAGAATATTTCCATTACTGGGAAAAGTTCTATGGGATGATGTTTATCTGAAATATTCTATTTTAAAAACAAGTAAATACTTCTTCTTGTGAAATGACACCAATATCTAGACTATGAACTTATGCGTTGGCCTCCATTACTATGAACTTATGCGCTGGCCTCCATTAACGATGACTAAGCAAGCTGTCAGAGCTCAAGTGGTATCATACCAGCCAGGAGAAAGCCTAGAAAGTGTGGGGCTCTGAGTTCAAACTCCAGTACTAACAAAAAAAATCTGTTTAAATTTTTTATTGTTATCATAAAGGTGATGTACCAAGGGGCCACAGTTACAGAACTACATTATCTCCTAGAGTAGTCTCAGCAATTCTTTGCATGTTATCCATATACTGATGACTCGGTTTGCTAGTCCTAATCTGTCCCCCAAATCCCAGATTTGCAATTCCATTGCCATTTCCCTGGAAGAGCAGGCAGTTCACTATAAAATATCCCAACTATAACTCTTGATGGGGGACTGTCCATCCCCCTCCAAGCAAGCACCAACCTAGCCTCAACCTCAACAAGTAGCATTAGTGCTCACCAAGCTGTGAGGCAACACCTTTCTCCCACTAGGAATCCACTACCCAGAGAACATCCTGAATGTCCACCTCCATCTTCACTGCCACCCCTACAGTCTCAACCACTATTTTGTTTTCCTCACTTAAGATGGCAATGGTCTCCTGACTGGTTTTCTCTGCTGCCTGTAATTTGTTCAATACATAGAGAAAAAAATCATCTTATAGACACAAGATCCATGACACTCCGCCTGCCCAAAGGCTCCTGATGTTTCTCATCAAACTAGAGCTGAGTCTAAGTCTTAGTGTCCAAGGCCTGCCTCCACAGAACGCACTGCTGCCCCCTCTCTAACCTTCAAGCCACTGCTCCCTTTCTGCATCATGCCTCAGCCACTGTGGTCCTCTTTCCTTCAAACACACTAACTTAGCTCCAGCCATAGCCCTTCCAGGTTAGTGGTTTTCTTTCTGGAACATTCTTCTTCAGGGTCCGTACATGGCTGGCTCCTTCTGGTTTCAGTTTCTTGAATATGACTTGTTCAGCAAGTCCACAGTAGCCATCCATGCCGATCCCACCGCCTTGCTTGCTTTCTTTTGCAACTATTATGAGTAATATTTTATCTATCAACTCATTTAATGTATTCCTCATTACACTGTGAGCTCACGAGAACAGAGCTGGCATCTGTCTGGCTTAGCATTATTTCCTCAGCATGAAGACTATCTGGTACACAGTGAGAACTAAAACCAATTATGATGAGTAAATAATTATTTCTTCTGCTGTCCATATTCTCTATTTTAAAAGAACTGCTTAATTTCTAGATGAGGAAACATTTTACTACATTTTCATTAGTCAAACTCAGTATTTTCCATTGATTTTTATTATGGTATGTATAAATGGCATTTGTGGTCAGCATTTAATCTTGGAAGAAAGACTAAATTATACACGTATGTGACCAATATTTATAGAAGCTGAAAACAACATAAAAACCCATGGTTTAGAAGCTATGAAACTTACCCTCTGATAGCACTGAGGCAGAGAATTTTCCAACAGGGGAGGAGTTCTCTGCATTAATATTCCAACAGATTCTCTTAAAAGAGGAATAACACTAAGGAAAAGACAACAAATGATCAAGGCCACATTCTGACAATCTCATTTGGCAAAACAGTAAGAGTGTTCTTTCTTACAGTAAAACAAAGCAGTATGTATCAGACTAATACAAAGAACCACCAGTCAATGGTCTAGATTTTTCAATGTGACTATAAGTTACCAACTAAAATAAAAACAAGAGAAAATAGATCAATGTACAAAAGACCAAACTTATTATAAATAGAATAATGAATCATTTAAGTCTAAACACAGCATGAGTTCAACCTTCTAAGGTAAGGACATCCTACTTGAGCCCATTGGTCCTTCATATTAATCAAATATGTACATGCAAATTACCTTAATCATTTTGTAAAGAAAAAAATAAAATTCACGCATCAGTCAACTTGTTGAATATTTCTCATTGTAGTTGGTTAGCATTCATAGTTTATTATTTAAAGTATACAGGAACTGGATATGAATAGTTCGCACCTTAGTCCTAGCTATTCAAGAGATCTGAGGATCATAGTTCAAAGCCAGCACAGGTAAGAAAGACTATAAGACTCTTCAATTAACCATCAAAAAGCTGGAGCACAAAAACTCAGGGACAATGCCCAGACCCTGAGTTCAAGCCCAAGCTCAAGCCCAACACACAAACAAACAGGAATTTTGGCTCTATCTACAGATGTAATAAGCATTTCTAAAAAAGCATTTCTAAAAAGAGGACCCTAAAAACGGTGTTAATGTAACTGGTCTTCAAGCCTGCTGCTTTAGGTTGTATGGGTGATTAAATGTACAAAATCCAACAGAATAATGGTGACTTGTCTCTAGTGCAATATCTTTCTAATATAGCTAAGTATCAGATTCACCCAGCAGTCTTGTTTGCTTTGTACTCTGACAAGCTGAATCAGAACCTTTGAAGGAAGGCCTAGGCATCTATGCACTGACAAAGGTCCCCAGTGACTGCAATGAGTCACAGTGGTTGCAAAAGCTCCGGACTGAGTTGAAGGCAGAAGTAACTTCATGCCCCTTAGTAGCTTAAGCTAGTACACTACTTTTGAACCCTACAGAAACTCAAATTGCCCAAAGTACAATTCGCTTGATAACAGCTGTGGAATATCTATCTTATGGAAGAGTGTAAGTCGAACTGTGCCTTAAGAATTAGTGGTGGGCCTGGGAACGTGGCTCAGTGGTAGAGCGCTTGCCTTGCATGCCTGAGACCCTGAGTTCAATTCCTCAGCACCACATAAGCAAAAAAGAAAAAATCCAGAAGTGGTGTTGTGGCTCAAATGGTAGAGCGCTAGCCTTGAGCTGAAGAGCTGAGGGACAGCGCCCAGGCCCAGAGTTCAGGCCCCACGACCAGACACCCCCCACCCCCCCCAAAAAAAAGAACTAGTGGTATTTCTGACAGGTGCGAAGAAGTAATTACCAAAAGGAACAGAAATGATGTTTGTACTTCCCAATATCATAATCCCAGTACCCTAGTAAAATACTGGTCACTCGGTAGACCCATGGTAATTGTTGGTGAATGAATAAAAGATACACAGATCTCAGGTACTTTAGGTCAAAGAAAAGAAACTAGGAATCTGTTCTCATATTTAAGTATAGGTTTTTGTGTAATTTGTTACATATCCATTGATAATGAAGGCAAAATTCTTTATAGAAGTACAGAATAATCTATTCAAAAAAGGGAGACTGAGGCAGGATGAACAAGAGCTTGTGATCAGCCTGGACTACATAGCAAGATCCTGTCTCAAATAACAACAGAAAAGCAATGCTGTCTATGAAAATATTACACTGCACAGGAATCATGAGGTAGTTCCCCTCTCACTCCACAGTGAAAACTACTTTAAGGGGTGAGCTGTGTCTTTGTGTTAGTGTCCCCAGGATCTCAGGCAGTGTTTGGTACATAAATGTATATGGAACAGAATTTATAGCTGACTGAATCACAGATAGTTAATTTTTTAAAAGTACACTCACGGCCCAGGGTCAATAATAAACCTTTTAGAACACATAGGATTTTTAGCAGTTAGAGAAAAGGCATAACAAGCAAATACATCTGGAGAAACAGGAAAGGACTTCTAGCAGAAACAAATGCCATAATGAAAGAGTTTTTCCAGATGAGTCAAAGCCAGGATGGAGAAAGTTAAAGGAAAAATAGGTAGAAAGCAGACGGAGGTTGGAGTTACAAATTCTGACAGTAAGGACTTGTTATTTACCCATTTAAACTGAACAGGAGTACCTGTTTCTATGTTCTATGATATTATTAGACAGGTAAAGATTTCTGGGAAAAATGCACACACATATAAGCCAGGAGCTGGTGGCTCACACCTGTAATCCTAGCTACTTAGGAAGCTGAGAACTGAGGATCCCACTTCAAAGTCAGACTGGGCAGGAAAATTCTGTAAGACTCTTATCTCTAATTAACTACCAAAAAATTTCATATTTCCCTTTGGTTCCTTACTGTACTTCTTATGAGGCCCAAAATAACTTTCCATTTGAGATTAAGAAAAGTAATTTTTCTTAATTATGTGCCTCCTAAATTTAGGTATTCTGATGATTTCAAATTTTATCCAAAGAAAATGCTAATAATTGCTAGATATATGAGATGGAAATCATACACAAATAAAAATCATGATATCTGAGTTCTAATTCTGCCTGTAAATATCCTTTACTGATAGCTTTGAGGAAATCACATCACCTCCCAAAACAGCATTTTTCTCTTCCATAAAAGGAAGAGATTACATATCCAGGCAATTTTCTCTATTTAAATATTTCTCATTCAATATGAAAAAGTGGCCAAACTACAGGAAAACTAGGGAGAATATATATAGGGGGGGTGAGAGAGAGAGAGAGAGAGAGAGAGAGAGAGAGAGAGAGAGAGAAGGGGAAGAGCACCTTTAGATACTAAAGTAGTATCATCAAAATGAGACAATAGACATTTGGCAAGCCAATTCACTCCATCACTAACTAATACTGAATTTCATTGCAGCAATCAATACAACCAACAATTATTAATCACCTATAAGATACTAAGCATAGGACTTATTTTAGAGTTGTATAGCAACAACTGGACGTAGTTACTGCCATCCTGAGTCATAAACACCATGATTAGCCCTGAGCAGTCCTAGCCAGGGTGTGCAGTTGACAATTATCCTAAAAAGTAGTATGTGGGACTGTACAGTTGGACCCCAGGGATGCTCCCACTCATTACTGATTTGGCTATTTTGTAAAATTCAGACTGTTGCCTCCTTAGGTAAAAATTAGATAAAGCATATTCAACAGCAGCAAGCACTTCACCATAGCACATGGACATTCCCCATCACTTTTGACCAATAGCAATTTTAAAATAATGTAAGAATTTCAGCTGTAAGAGCCACACTAGGTCTGACAGCTGCAGAAGGTGTTTGCTCAATCCCATGATAGCATCTTCAGAGCTAAGACCAGTTTCCACAGTGATTTCAAAGACCATAAAAGGTAAAAGACACTGGTAGAAACTTAAGCTTTTGACTTTCAAAATTGTGTCTAGCTTGGGATCTTGTGTCCATATTTTTCTGATTAACTATCGTAATGGGAAATTATAGAAGAGATTTCGGCATGGATCTATCTAGCCATAATGAAAGGATATGCAGAAAAAGACAAGCTTAGCAAATTCCTGACTGAGCAAAGACTGAGAGCCACATCCAAACCCAGAAAGTAAGCATTTGGCAACAATTAGAGGTTCGCTTTTGGTTGACTAACTCAATTCTAACTCTCACAATGAAGCACTATTTTCCTACTATATATGAAAAGGGATGAGTCATTAGGTCTGAGGTTACCAGTCATACAAGGTAATAATTTTATTCTTCAAGAGCTGAATGTAAAGTCAATTTATAATCATCTGCTAATAGAGCTAACTAATCTAAAAGCTTAAATTATATATTAAATAAGCAACAGTTATTTAGTCTTTATTGTCACTAACTTTGCAAATGAAAACAAATTTTAATCTTTTGCTTCAGAAGTAGCTTTCAAGATGCTCACCATATTTCAGCAAAAAATAAAATTCTCTAACAGCAATCATAAACAAGGCAAATAAAACAGACAAGTATACATTATAAAAACTTTGGAAGGACAATTAGACTAATGTCGACAATCATAATTTCAACAAAAACTTTCCACTTAAATTATTGTCTAGAGCCAGATGTCTGTAGCTCATGCTAGTAATCCTTATTCAGGAGGCTGAGATCTGACGATTCAGGTTTGGTATCAGCCTGAGAAAGTCTCTGAAATTCTTATCTCCAATAAACCAGCAAAAGGCCAGAAGTGGAGGTGTAGCTCAAATGGTATGGCACCAGTCTTGAGCAAAAAACTAAGCAAGGACAAGTGGAACTGAGTTCAAACCCCAGTAGTGGCACCAATTTTTTTTAAAAAATCTAAAATTTGAGACCAAACATCCAAAACACAACTATTGATTGAACTTGTGAACTGGCTTATGTATTAAGTGTTCCTGCATATTATAAAGATTTCTTCTTTTTCTTTTTTTTTTTAATTTTTTTTTTTTTTGGGCCCAGTCATGGTGCCTGAACTCTGGGCCTGGGCGCTGTCCCTCAGCTCTTCAGCTCAAGGCTAGCACTCTACCACTTGAGCCACAGAGCCACTTCCGGCTTTTTTCTTTTTGCTTATGTGGTGCTGAGGAATCGAACCCAGGGCCTCATGCATGCAAGGCAAGCGCTCTACCACTGAGCCACCTTCCCAGTCCCTCTTCTTTTTCTTTTTTTACTTTGGCAGTTTGAGGATTGAACTCAAGGTCTACCACCTGAACTATGCCTCCAACTCTTTGATCTTTTTCAAATAGGGTCTTGAATTTATGCTGATGCCAGTCTGGACCACGCTCCACCTATTTTGCTTTCAGAATAGTTGTGATAACAGGATGAGCCACCATGCCCAGCTTTTATTAGTTGAGGAGAAGTCCCTTAAACTGCATCCCTGGGCTGGACTTGAACTCAAACCTGCAAGAGGCTGGGATTATAGGTGTGAGCTGCT